GAAAGAACAGGAATAGAACTGGGAGTCGAGATATCCCATTTCTGCCCTACCTCTGCCACTAGCTGACCATGTGACCTTGAATGAAAGCCTTTGCTTCTCTGTAACACAGTGTCCTTCTCAGAACAACAGCAAAAATAACAAATGCCCTGTCAAATTTGCAGGATAGTTGTGATGAGAAAAATCAATGTGAAAGAACTATAGCATTAGGATATTTGTGCAATAATATCCTATAATAATAATAATACCTTCCTTTTTTGTAGGAGAATTGTTGCAATGTTTAATTCATCCACTCTGTTAAAAACTGGCTATAGATTAGCCGATGTTAAACAAAATTATAGGAAAGGCCATCGGGCTGAGTTCTGGCACTAGGCCCCAACAGACCAGACCAAACCAAAATGGAGTCACTCATGCCAAATGCCTCTTGATCAAACTGAAACTTTAAGGAAGCAGATAGATTCCCAAACAGATGAGTTCTTTCTGAAAATGAGAGATTCAAGTCTGCCTGAATCAGCATGATAAGGAAGTCCCCTCTGCTTTAATCCTTAGAAAAAGCAGATGTTAAATGATCAGCATTTTTTTCCCTATTGTTTTATTTCCTTGTTCCCACCTTACCAAACCCACTTTTTTGCTGTTGCCCAATGGGAGCTTTCATTCTATTTTGTGGGATAGAAGCTGCCCAATTCATCAGTTGGCAATAAAAGCCAATTAGATCTATACATTTTTGTAATGTCGCCTTTTGACACTAACATTTCCTGAATGCTTATTCTTTGTTGGCTACTGTGTTATGTATTCCACATGTTGTAAAGTTATATGATCCTCAGAATAAATCACTGAGGACAGGCACTATTATAAATTATCACCCATTTACAGGTAAGTTAAGAGTAGTTAAGTAACATGCCATGGTTCTATAGGTAATAAGTGGCAGATAACAGATTTGAACCCAAAACACAAGTTTATCCACTATGCTAGCCTAGTATTCTATTTCAGTAAAATATCTTACTTTTTTGTTTTCTTTCCAGAAAGTCAAACAGAAAATGACCATGTGAATCTTTTGCTTACAGAGTAGCAGGGTTCAGGGTGCGGGTGTCAGAACCTGCATTCCCAAAGCCACGTTCTCCTGGCACCAGTCCTGCATTTGTGGAACCATTCCCCTCTTGCTTGGGGTCTGCCAAGTCATCTCAGCCTGCTGGCCCCTAAAGCCTTTCTCCGAAGCAAATTGCCTGTGAGCCCAATGTTGTTACTACTGTCCATGAAACCAGACCACTGACTTTGAGTTTGTTATGAAGACATTGAATTTAAATCTGCCATGAATGCCCCACACTGACAAGTTGCAGCTGTGTTTGGTAAATGAAGCTCCCAGAACACTGTTAATTTTAAAATATTTTATTAATTTCTCTTCCAAAATGACAAAATGGTCACATGTTCATAGACTGAATTATTTTCATCTGGAAGATTGCATAACAGGCAGCACACTCGGGCAGAAAAGAAGTACGTACTTATTTTCATGTATACCTCCGTTCAAATTTCCAGAACATTTTTTTCTTCTGATTGATGGTGGATTTGGCAGCGACTTCCAGCACTTGAACTAAAATCTCTGATTTCCTTCTCCCTTAGGCAGTGAATGATCTGCAAACACTCACAGAAATCCATTAGAGAAGCTGTATTTGCAAGAAGAAAAGAAAGATTGCATTAACGTAAACAAAGACTCTTAATTTATTGACTTTGTAGGTTGTTCACCTATTAATTCTCTTCAAGGGAAGTGAAGGGGTACTATTGTGTTAAAGGGGAAAACCTTAAGGGTTATTTTGGCAAATGAGTATTTTTAAGTTTGAGAAGCCCAGAAAGAACCCAGTTATAGGAGAAAGAAGGGAAGTTGGATGAGAGCTGGGAGCATATAAACTGATCTCTAGGGGGGTTTATGGAAAATTTCAAGCATATATAAAATTGGGAAGAAAATACAATAAATCTCTACGTATTCATCATACACCATCAACAATTATTAACTCATGGCTGGTTTTGTTTCATCTATTATTCACTCTTCTCTCATCTAGTATTATTTAGAAGCAAACCCCTATACCATGTTATCCATATTTTGGTAAATACTTCTGGAATATAAGGACTCTTTTTAAAACATAACCTTGATATCATCACACCTAAAAAACACTATTTTCTTAATACTGTCAAATATCCAGTCAGTATTAACTTTCCAATTTTCTCATAAATGTTATAATTTTATTTTCATGGTTGTTTGTTTGAAATAGAACACGTGATAGTGTGTGTTAGGTATCTTTAAAATCTATGGCTTCCTCCTCCATCTCTTTTTTTTCCTTGCAATGTATTTGTTGAACACACTGAGTCATTTGTCCAACAGAGTTCGTCGTAGATTGTATTTTACTGATTGCGTCATTGGGGTGTTTTATATCATGTTCTTCTGCCCTCTGTATTTCCTTTGAATTGGTATCAAAGGCTTGATTAGATTTAGGTATTTTGTTTTGGTCCCAGCATTCTTCACAAGAGATGGTGTGTTCTTCCATCAAGAGGCACATAATATCTGAACCTCTGTTTGCTCATCTATAAAATGGGAATAATCATAGTACCAACCTTTGTAGGGCAGATGCAAGATTAAAATAGTCAAGTGCTCTGCACAGTGTCTGACACAGAGTAAAGACTAAAGAAACATTAGTTTCATCACTATTGTTTGAGTTAATGAAGAGAATTCTTAAGGCTTTGGAGGTTGTAGATCATTATGCCCAGTAAAACAATTAACCCCTCCCGTAAAATGGACTTAGTAGTAATGTAAGAAAGAAGACAGTCTTTTTTTATGGATTGGCAAGTGGTTTTGCTGTACAACTTAATGCCACACTGCTTAGGTGTGGAGAGGACCTGAAATTACCCTGGGAGGCCAGGCTTCTGCAGAGGACAAAGAGGGACATTACTTCTGAGCTCCGTGCGCCCTCACTGAATGTGGCCTTCACTGTTATCGTAGAACGTGACGTGACGGGAAGGTGTGTTTGACAACTCAGCGAACTGTGAATCTAGTTAGCTGCTCAGCGGTGGATGCTCAGCCCTGATCTGCCCTTCCCAGCCTTGGGCCAAAGGGGGATGTTAGTGTAGGGGCAGCGTGACTTCCTGACCTCTGCAGCTGTTTCAGCCCTTTGCAGCCCCTGGACCAAATTCTCCTGTCCATGGTCCTTTTCCTCCCTGATATCCCATTTCCTAAATAGCAAGGCAAACTCAACTGACAATCACAGGAGAAATTCCAGCCCTCATACCGTCTCACACCTCCCTGGGATCGGAGCTGGAGAGGGAGGGAGGGATTCTTGGACCAGTACAGTGGCCCTTCTCTTTGTGTCCTTCTTATTCATGTATATTTAAGGGTTGGCTTTATTAATCTTTTTATAAAACTCAGATTTTAGGTTTTTTTGTTCACCTCTACTGTTTGTATTTTGCTTATTTTTTTTTTCTGCGTTATTTCTGCTTCTGTAATTATCAATCCCTCTACCCTTGTTTCTGTGGGTTGATTTTTGTTCTCAAGATTTTTTTTTTTTTTTTTTTGAGACAGAGTTTCACTGTGTTGCCCAGGCTAGAGTGCCGTGGCATCAGCCTAGCTCACAGCAACCTCAAACTCCTGGGCTCAAGCAATCCTTCTGCCTCAGCCTCCCGAGTAGCTGGGACTACAGGCATGCACCACCATGCCCGGCTAATTTTTTCTATATATTTTTAGTTGTCCAATTAATTTCTTTCTATTTTTAGTAGAGACGGGGTCTCGCTCAGGCTGGTTTCGAACTCCTGAGCTCAAACAATCCGCCTGCCTCGGCCTCCCAGAGAGCTAGGATTACAGGCATGAGCCACCGCGCCCGGCCTTGTTCTCAAGATTTTTGAATGGAACATTAAGTTCATTTAGTTCCACTTTTCTTATTTTCTACTAAATGCATTTGAGACATTTATTAGTCTTGTCTACCTTTCAGTCCTAAATACTTTATCATTTCGATTTGAATTCTTCTTTAGCTATCAATAACCTTAAACGTGTTTTATAAATTTTCAAAGGCATGTGACTTTTTCTGCCATCATTTGCATTATCGATTTCTAATTTCATTGCATTATAATCAATGAATGTGACTTCTAGGCTGTCACTTTTAGAGGAAATTTATGGGAACCTGATTTATAGCCTAAATCATAATTAGTTTTCAATCAGTGTTTCATGCATGTTTGGGGGAAAACATTAGCATTCTGTTTGCTGGATGCTGAGTTCTTAAAATAGCAATTAGCTGGAGCTGGGCACTGCTCTGTTCAGATCCTCATCAGCTTCACTGCCAAAGTTACCATCAAAGCAGCTGCACTCTGCCAGGGTCTAAGACACAAAAATGTCCATTTACGGTTGACTTGTTTGGCTTACAAAACAGACCCAGGCCAAAGAAGATGATGGCTCTTCCATCTTTGCAAGCAAGGTTGGTTTGCAGGACTTGAGTTCTTTTAGTCCCAGCTCAAGTAGCCTAAAATCCTAGGCTCTGGTTTCCAGTTGATTATTGAAGCTGTCACGACCATGGATAATTGTGTTCTGCAGTAATTTCAGAATGGAACTCATAAATATCCTTCTGATGAACAAAAGGTGAGAGTGCTAACTGCGACCCATGTCCTAGCTTCCTGCATTTCTTGAGGCCCTTTGTCTTGGTCGTGTGGGCAGCACTCAACTTCTCTGAGCCTTGTTTTTTCTTCAGTTATGTGGATAGAGTACCACCTTCTGTGGTGACCACAGAGGGTCGTGGTGAGGGTCAGCCAAAGTCGTAGACACGAAAGTACTTTGTTAGCTGAAAAAAGATCCTTAAATATAAAAGGTACAGATTGAGTGGACCTTGTGAAGAAGAGGCAAGGGAAGTGGTCTCAATGTTTCTTAACCTATTTTATTCTCCAAAAGGAGCCTGAACATGGTGAGGTTGAGAGAAGTGTTTGGAGGCCCCTGAAATTCTCCATTGTCCTTCTCTTCCTTTCCCACGGTGCAGAATACAGAAACCGCAGCCATGACCACGCACGTCACCCTGGAAGATGCCCTCTCCAACGTGGACCTGCTCGAAGAGCTGCCCCTCCCTGACCAGCAGCCATGCATCGAGCCTCCGCCCTCCTCCATCATGTACCAGGTAACAAAAATAGCAGATGGCTCCAGGGGGCCAAGGAAATCTGGGGATCCTCCAAGAAGGTTTGCCCGGAGGCAGAGGGAAGAGGAGGTCTGCATCTAGAAGGTGAAGGCTCATGAGCTGATAGAGTCCCCTGTGCACTCGGGGAGCTGAGAGTGAGGAATAGATTAGCTAGTAGATGTATACCAGGACTGTTTCCCTCCCCCAGGGAAGTCTTGATGATCTGCTCCGACCCCAGATACCTTCCTGGCTGTTCCTGCTGCTGCACCAACCAAGATTTTGGCAGCTCTGACCTCATGAATTAAATATTGCAATTAAAAACCCCTAGAGCCTGCCTGGGTAATTACTTTTCCTTCATGTATGTGAAAAGAGCTCTGCAACTCCCCATAGCAGCTAATGGCCCAGGGAAGCTGGTCACAGTTGTTTGCTTTTGCCTAAGAGAGTAGTGCTTGCGATAAACCACTATCAGATTGTTCAAAACCATGATCCATCCGGGCGTGGGGGGGTTGGGGGTTGGGGGTGTCCATGAAGCTGGAGTCAGCCTTGCAAATAGTCCCTTGTCTGGTTGTGCCAGGCCAGATGCCACGTTAAGAAAGGAAACGTTAATCTGAAATTTTTAGCTGTATTTGACCTTTTGAAAGTTCTTGGACTGCTAAAGGAGAATAAACATAAATGCATAGTATATTTTTAATTTCATTAAGTGGTTAGATTTATTAAGCACATGCTTGAAGGCTCAACTCATAAATTTGGTTTTCACATCTTCTAACCAAAATTAAATTTTTAATTATGTAATTATTATTACAAGCAATACAAAAAAGTATAACAAATAAGTTTCCCTATAACTATGGCTATGTATATATTAATATCTTTTTACCAAATATACATATATATATGTTTTTACCAAAAGATAATCATCCTGTGTATATATGGCTCTATGAGTTGGCTTTTTAAATTAAAATTCGTTATGGGTATTTTTCCATGACAATACTACAATACTACCACGTTATGTTTAACCACATCATGGTACTAAGAAGTCCATTTATGGATACATTATTGTTTATTTAGCCTTTTGCTGTTGATGGACGTTGGGTTGTTTACAGTTTTTTTTTAGTCACAAAAAGTGCAACAGTGATTATTCTTGTATATACGTATCTACACCCTTGGGTAAATATATCTGGAACTGCTGAATGAAAGTGATGAACATCTTAACTTTTAGCAGGTATTTGGGCCTGTGGAGTTTAAGCATTTACTCCCGAAGTCCAGCCGAGTAAACCTGAGTACTGACGGGAAGCAGACGCAGGCCCTGTCATCAGCCTGCTCCTGCCCACTGTGATTAAGAGTGGGATTTTGGGGATGGGGCAAGAGGAAAGGTGATATAGCAGTAGGTTTCCACAGAGAGCTGGTGGTGTTTATTGGCAGCGGTTTGTTCCCTGGACACTCAGCCACCTTGTGGACCTGTTTTCCAATAACCAAATGTTCCTGTCCTCTAATTCCACAGGCTAACTTTGACACGAACTTCGAGGACAGGAATGCATTTGTCACGGGCATTGCAAGGTACATTGAGCAGGCCACGGTGCACTCTAGCATGGTAAGTCTCTGACTCACGTGTGCCTGCTGGGGCGGGAGGGGCCATGGGCCACGTCTCATTCCAGGGGCATGTGCTCAGCCACTCTGAGACCCCCCTGCTTCAGTCAGACCCATCTGCTGAAGCCCATTCTCACATTCTGCCCCATCCCGCTCTCTCAGTGCCCAGGAACATCCTGTTCCCCTTTATCTTCCAGTTTTGCAAAACCTACTCACTCTTAGGCCCAACTTAATCCCCACTCTCACTTCCCTGAGCTCCTATAGCTTTTTGAGTTAACATGTGATTAGATCCTGCCTTGTCTTAATACTTTATAGATTACTGAGTGTGTGGAATTTTGTCTCTTGAGCAAAGCAAAAGTTGCCTCAAAAAAGGTACACTGGCTTTGGCTTTGGAATAACACAGTTATTGACTCGAGGAAGCTGATGGCCTATATCATTTGCTAATGGGGCCAGTTATTATTTTCTTTCTTAGGATCTGACCCATCTGTGGGGAGATCATTCACTTCCCTCTTGGGATTTCATCGATTTTATTCTCAGACAATGCCAAAGTTTGAAGAATTTTGAATTCCTCGTTTGTAGGCTCTGCCTGTGGCTCAATAAACCTTTCTAACTATATGTCTTCGTTCATTTCGTGCTGCTATAACAGAATACCACAGACTGGGTAATTTATAATGAAGAGAAACTTACAGGCTCATGATTATGCAGGCTGGAAAGTTCAAGATTGAGGAGCCGGTATCTGGCGAGGGCCTTCTTGCTGTGTTCTAACATCACAGAAGGTATCACGTAGGTGAGGTGCCTTCCGAACTCTTCCTTTATAAGGAACCCACTCCCGTGATAACAGCGTTAATCCATTCATGGGAACAGAGCCCTCATGACCTGATCACCTCTTAAAAGTCAAATATGGGCCGGTTCTGATTCTCAGTGGGTCAAGTTGGAAATTGACAAGCTTACCATTTATTGAACACTTTTTCTGGGTGGATATTTTAGAAGCATTTTCTCATTCACTGCTCACACCAACCCTGTGAGGTAGGTTCTGTTATAACGTCCATTTTGCAGATGGGGGAAACTGGATCCCAGAAAAGTTAAGTAACTTACTCAGGGTCCTGGTGCTGACAGGTGACAGATCTAGACCCAGGTCTGTCTGACTACAAAACTTGTGCTCTAGACTATGCTTTGCAGACATTTGTGAATGCACAGAGTTAAGGGTAAACGTCATGGTAAAGTTCAAAGGTCTATGTTTTTGAAAGGGCCTTGAGAGAGTCAGAGAAAGCTTGATGAAGGAAGTGGTTTTTGAGTGAATCTTGTAGGAGGGTAATGATACGTTATAGATGTACAAGGTCTGTCTGGAAATTACGCAGCCATTGTTATTAATAAGATAACGAGAACAGTTTACGCAGCATCAATGCAGCCAAGGAGAGTGGACTGGGATGCAGATGCGTGAACAATGACAACTTCACGGTCCTCGTCAGTGGGGCACTAGATGCCATTGAGTGAGCATGTGTACTGTGTGGCCGTCGCATTCAAAAATGACTGAGCAAGCAGAGCAATGAATCTGCATCAAATTTTGCGTTAAGCTTGAACATTCCTCCACGGAAACTGTTTGGATGATTCAGAAGGCTTTCGGGATGAAGCAAGGAGCGCAGCACAAATGAAAGTGTGGCACAAATGCTTCAAAGGTGGTCAAGAATCTGTTGAAAGTGATCCATGTTCCGGAAGGCCTGCAACAAGCAGAACACCTGAGAATGTTGAACAATGCAATCAATGAAAGGTCCCAAGGTGCCTAGTTTGAAGAGGAGTGTGAGGTGTCATTGTCCTATATACAGTGTTTGTTGCATCTTCTTCAATAAATGTCTCCATTTTTCGTAGTACATGACTGGATACTTCCTGGACGGGCCTTGTATCGTATCGCACTTTAAAATATATGTAAGGTATTCTCATCATACATGATGTTATTGGAGCCTCATTTGTGACTTGCAAAGGGATCATTATACCCATTTTAGGGATGAGAAAACTGAGGTCTAGAGAAGTTCATAAGCAAGTTGCTCATGATTCCACAACTAGTAAGTCACAGGATTGGCCCTAAAATCCAGGGCTGACCCCCAGTCCTGATCTCTTCCCACTGTACTCTACCGTCTGACATAGTTATTAATAGAATTTTATGAGTCAGAGCTGAGAATGGAGGTGGAGGGGAGCAGGTGGAAGAACCAGCACGAGCAAAGGCACAGAGGCAAGAATTTTCAGGGACTGACTGGGTTTGGACTATAAGGTACATATAGGGAAATGGTTTGTAGTATTAATGGAAAGTTAGATAAGGGTCAGTGCATAGAGGGTGTATTAGTTTGCTTGAGCTACCATCACAAAGTGCCACAGACTGGGTGGAAAACAACAGACATTTATTTTCTCGCAGTTCTGGAGGTTAGAAGTCCAAGATCAAGGTATCCATACATCTATAACAGTTTCTCCTGAGGCCTCTGTCCTTGGCTTGCCGATGACTGCTTCCCACTGTGTCCTCACCTGTTCTTTTCTCTATGTGCACACATCCCTGAACTCTTTGTGTGTCCAAATTTTTCCTCTCTTTGAAAGGACATGAGTCAGATTGGACGAGGGCCCATTCTAATGACCTAAAGACCCTGTCTCCAAATGCAGTCACATCCTGAGATACTGAAGGTTAGAGCTTCAACATGGGAATTTTGGGGCTACGTAATTTAGCCCATAACAGAAGGCTTTAATTTAGTGAATAAAAAATCAAAACAATGGAAAATCTTCATCCCCAGGAGAGATGTGAACAGAACCCTGCTTAGGGGATAAATTTTATTTGTTAGTATGTATAGAATGAGTTGTAAGTAGGAGTGAATGGGGTAAATAAGTCAGTCCAGATAAAATTGTCTACAGGAGAGGCATTAAAGTCTGAATGAAGGGGATGGCCCTGGGGTGGCTACGAGGATGTAGGTGTGCGAGCCCCTGGAGGTGAGCTCCACCTGGCTCAGCAGTCTGCTGGGACCATGCTCACGGAGTTCTCCCAGACGTACTGTACCAGGTCAGGGACACCAACAGGGAAGTCAGAAGGAGAGGCTGGTCTGGAGGGTGACAGTATTCATTTCTATTGTCGCTCTAACAGATACAGACTGTCACCAATTTAGTGGCTTAAAACAACACAAAATTGATTTGCTTACATTTCGTTAGGTCGTAAGTCCAACATAGGTCTTATTTTGTTAAATAAAATCAAGGTGCCAGCAGGGCTGTGTTCCTTTCTGGAAGCTCGAGAGAAGAATCTGTTTCCTTGCTTTTTCCAGGTTTTTTCTAGAGGCGTGGCTTATGGCCCCCAGCCGGCTGGCGGCCACATCGCCCTGCCCTCTGCTTCCATCTTCCCATCTCCTGCCCTGACTCTCCTGCCTGCTTCTTTCACGTATAAGGATCCTTGTGATTACATTGGATTCACCAGGATAATCCAAGATAACCTCCCCATCTCTCTATTTAATCACATCTGCAAATTCCCCTTTTCCACATGAGGTAATGTTGAGGTACTGGGGATTAGGATGCAGACCACTTTGGGGGGCACTATTCTACCTACACAGGGATACTATTGATCTGGTTTAGACATGAGTCATAAGTAGGGTGTACTGTTCACATTCCTGGATAACACCAAAATCTCACTTCAGTCAACAGTTTCTACCTAGTACCTTGCCCGATCTCTCCAGAGTAGCTCATTAGCAACAGGTGAGTTCGTTAGGTGCTCATCTTCTTGTATTTCTCCTGCCCACACTTGGGCAAGGCGACTCTCTCAAAGGTGAGGACAGCCAGAGAAAAGAGGAGGAGATAGTGCATAAACCACACAATTGACTAAGTACATGGAAGAGTTGAGGGTTCTTTGCTGGGGATGAGATGGGGGCTGAGTGAGTGCTGAGAGAGAAAATCTGTCACTACAGCCCTGAAATTTGAACCAGACTCACATTGGGTTTAAGTCATGGACTTACAGAACGTTAAAAATGCAAAGGAACTTAGAGATCCTCAGTCCTGCAGCTATCAACCTGGGCTGCAAAGGGAATCCCCTGGGGATTGTTAAAAAATGACCAGTCCCTGGACCCCCACCCCCAGGGATAAAATATTCAGTTAGTCTGGAGTATGGCCTAGTCATCACGAGTTTTCAGAGTTCCCCAGGGGACTCTAATGTGCAGCCAGGGTAGAGAACCAATGATTTAGGACAAATCTTTACCTCCAAATAAGGAAACCATGACATTTGCAAGTTAAAAGATGGGCCCACGAAGAGCCAGGACCAGAACTCAAGTCTCCCAAGGCCCCACTCAGGGCTCTTTCCACTATACCACCCTGACCTCTACATTCCAGGCATAACTGTACTGCACATCTGGCCGATGGCCAGCCAAACCCTCTGCAGGGCAGAGTCCACGTCCTGCTTGTTCGCTGCCCTGTTCCCAGCACACAGCAGAGCCTGGGACCCATAAATGCTTATAAAACATTCGTCGAATGAATGAGTTGGCGTTGCACCTACTGGTGGGCGTTTAGTTTGGTACTAAAAGTAAACACATGTTTCTTACATGCCTGTTACTTCCCCCTTTTGACACGTGTTCTGAGGCCGCAGGAGACCCACACGCTTGATGTTGGTTCTCTCTGGTCTCAAGGACAACATGTTACTGATTTAACAAGTTCTCTAGATTAGGAATTGAAAGTGTGACTTGTCAGTGACATTCGCTAATGCAAACAGAACTGTTACAAGTAAATTAAGTCTGATCTTGTACTAATAAGATATTGTGAAATAGATATGTGGATTTAAAAATAATAAGAGTTCATTTCTATATAGACACAAGCATTTACAAAGGGAGATGGCCCTGTAATATTATTTTTTATTGTATTTTCGAGATATACTATCTATAACATAAAACCATTTAAAGTATACAGTTCTCTTAGGTATACATCTAGGAATGGATTTGGTGGGTCAAATGGTAACTCAATGGTTAACATTGTGTGGCACTGCCAAACTGTTTTCCTAACTCACTTGCAGATTACCTAGAGAGTGTGCGCGTGTGTGTATGTAATCCTTTTAATTCTCATAAAATTCTGTGAGATTATTATCATCATCATTTAGCAGATAACTAAATGGAGAATTTTAGGATAAGTGACTTACAGTAGGCTAAAGGGCTAATAATGAATCTGGGATCTGAGCCCAGATATTCGGACCCCGAGTTAAGGGCTCTTTCCACAGTAGTCTTTACTCGCTGGGATGAGTCATCACCATATTCTTCATGTTCATTCTCCACGTTGGTTTTGCCATCTGCTCTACTTTTTATTTTTCAAAAAATTGATATTAATCATCTTCCCACTCATGAAATAGTAACATGGGCTTTCGTACAAGTGTGAATGTTAGCATCTATAGGGTGTAAAAAGTCACAAAATAATTCAGCCCCGGTGTGTGCTGCACCAAAATTTTTTCAATACATAATACATGTTCATAATTATTCCTGGTTTTTTGTTGTTTTTTAACTATCTACTGTATATACTGTTTTGCTACTTATTTTCTTGCTAATATTATATCGGGGACACACTTTGCTGTAGGAAAACATGGATCAGCCTCATTCTTTCAAGGTGGCCATCCATCTGTTTGAAAAATGTGGCCTGGTTGTGGAGTCCTTGGGTGTCTGATGAGGATGATTTAGTTGGGTTCTTCTCGAACTTACCATGCCTGTGAGTCATCTGGGCACTTTGTTGAAATGCAGATTGTTATTCCATAGGCCCAGGGAGGGGCCTGAGAGTCTACATTTCTAATAAGGCCTCTGCCCACACCCCCACGATGCCCATGCTGCTGGTCCCCAGACCACACTGAGTAGTGAGGGTCTCGGGGGCTGTTGAGAAGCCTAGTGGCACGGGCGTAGTTTCTCCCTGCTGAGGATGTTTTGCTCTTTCAGAATGAGATGCTGGAGGAAGGACACGAGTATGCCGTCATGCTGTACACCTGGCGCAGCTGTTCCCGGGCCATTCCCCAGGTGAGACTTGCTGTGTGTCTCTCTTGCCCCTCCAGGGGGCGTTACTACCCCCTACCCCACTCCCAAACCAGAGAGCTGAGCTTTTCCAGGTGGCAGGGTGTGAAGCAGGGCCTCTTATCCGAGGGAGGTCACTGAAGACATTTAGAGAGCTTCCTACAACGCTGACAAGGACCCATGCCCAGCCACTTAAAAAACATTTGTTCAATATATTAATATTTTATTTCAAAAGCAGTAAATACCAGCTGTATGGTACCCACACCAGAAAGCAAGATAGCCCCACTTCCTCACCCCCACCACCCAAACCCACGTCCCACCATGGCGTAATCGCTATGAACACTTAGCTACGTATTCTTCTAGATCTTTTTCCTGGCATGAATATTATATTGTAAATTATTGTTATTTATAAAAGTGCATTGTTTATTTATCTTGTTCTGGCAATTTTTTTCTACTTAATTCTTTTTTATTTCCTTTTTTTTGAGGCAGAGTCTTGCTCTGTTGCCCTGTGTAGAGTGCGGTGGTGCCATTGTAGTTCACTGCAACCTCCAACTCCTGTGCTCAAGTGATCCTCCTGCCTCAGCCTCCCAAGTAGCTGGGACTTGTAGACACACACCATGATGCCCAGCTAATTTTTCTGTTTTTAGTAGAGACAGGGTTCCACTCTTGCTCAGGCTGGTCTCGAACTCCTGAGCCCAAGCTATCCTCCCTCCTTGGCCTCCTAGAGTGCTAGGATTACAGGTGTGAGCCACCGCGCCCGGCCCCAACACAGGTATTTTTATTACCATCGTCATCATATAATTATTGGGTCCCATTGTAACAAAATCAACAAGCTACAGGTGTGTAAAGTAAACAAAAACTATTCCTCCCCCTTCCTCCTAGTTCTAGTCCCTAGCAATAAGTACTATTGACAGTTTGGTTTACGTGCTTTCAGATTTTCTATGCCTGTATTATATGTGAACACACACACACGGTTTTGTTTTGCTTAACAAAAATGGGAACAAATTACACTTACTGTTCTATGACTTTTTTTCACCCATTCGTTTATGGTAGTTTCTTTTCATGTCAGTTCACATAGATATGTCTCATTCCTCTTAACATGATATCATATGATTGTATGATAGTTTGTCCATTTAATGAGCTGATGGATATTTAGCATGTTGCTGCCATTTTAGGAATTTCTAAACCATAGTGTGAAGAATGTCCTTGTGCTTCCCTTCACTTACTCTTCGAATTTGGCCTACCTAACGACACTCTTTGCATGTGTCTTGTGAGAACATCTGCCGTGGGACTCTGATGTGCGCACTGGCTGAAAACCACTGGGCAGGGCAATGGGTGTCTTGATGGACATGTCTTCCATTGGCCAACAGTGGCCTGTGTGTGGCTAGGGAAGCCTTGTCCCACGTGCATCCTGAGCGATGGACAGAACATTTCTCGGTTTAGATTCTGGCCAGGTGTCTCTGGAGCAGGGTCAGGGAAAAGGCTGAAGGAGGGAGAGCTTGCAGGTCAGCGTGGATGTGTGCACAGCTCACAGACGGGGCACAGAACAGAGAGAAAGGGAGGTGGGTTCTGTTCTCGGGACCAACTGGTTTCTTTTCTGCAACCAGTCTCTGGGGAGTATTTCTGCCCGCTGACAGACTGGTGAGACAAGGGTGACCCCAGCCTCCTCTCACTAGGGAGACCGTGTCAGTTATCATCCAGAATGAGAGTGTAAAAGGGCCCTCTTAATAAGATGACAGGTGAGAACGAGGACTGCCTGGGCAAAGCAGCTGTATGAACCCCACCCGCCACCTCCTCCCACAGGTAAAATGCAACGAACAGCCCAACCGAGTGGAGATCTACGAGAAGACCGTGGAGGTGCTGGAGCCAGAGGTCACCAAGCTTATGAAGTTCATGTACTTTCAGGTGAGGGGGAGGGGCAGATGTACATGGGGAGGCTTGAAAAGGCCCCTGCTCTCTGGCCACTGTCGTTTGGAGTTTAGTGCAGAGTTATTCATTCAGTAGATATTTTTTGAACATTCCCTGCACATCCCTGGGTGAACAAGACAGACAAGCCACACCCCCCTCACAGAATTTACACGTCCTAGTGAGTACGTGAGTGTGTTTTGGGTAGGGAGAGAGACAGACGGTAAGCAATACACAATAACGTTAGGGGTTCAGAGCATAATATGTGCTGTGAGTAAAATAAAATTTTTAATAATTCTGGGTTACGGAGTATCTGTGCTGTGGGTGCTGCTTTAGAGATGGCCTCTCGGGGTGGCATTGGAGCTGAGGTCTGTATGATGAGAGAGAGGCTGGCCCGTGATGGCCAGGAAGAAAAGGGTTCCAGGCAGAAGGTGCTGCAGAGGCAAAGTGCTGAGGCTGGAAGGAGCTTGACCTGTTTAAGAAACAGAAGGAAGCCCGTGTGCCCTGCCGATAGGAGATGGGAATGTCTGGGGGAAGGTGTCAATGCCAAGTGCAGCCTGGATGGGGAGCGCTGCCTCTGGGGGCGGAGAAGCCCAGGTCTAACCCCAGCTCTGCCACTCTCTAACTGTGCGTCCTGTGAATTATTTAACATCCCTGACACCTTCAGATTTCTCACCTTGGAAACGATGCCTACTTCACAGGTTTCCGGTGAGTACAGATGAGGTCTGTTTGTCAAGAACCGATCAGAGCAGTTTCCACAAATCGCAGCTGCTGTTACTAGCATCACGGACCTGCCTTCCAGGAGTGTGAAATCTCTTTGGGAAGACAGGAGATGAGAGAGAACAGCCATCTAGAAATTGTTGAAGTGCTAAACCGAGGGCCTCCTGATGAGAGGCGTTTATAGAAGGGAGGATCTGGAATAATTCAGAGCTCTGCTGTCCGGCGCCATAGCCATGAGCCGCATGTGGCTATTTGCGTTAGTTATAATGAAACCAAATAAAAAATTCAGTTCTTCAGTAGCACGAGGCACCTTTCAAGTGCTCAGTGGCCACACGTGATGAGTGGCTCTCCTACCGAAGAGTGTGGATATGGGATATTTGCATTATCGCAGAGAGTTTCATTGGCCTTTGGCTCTGGAAGGAGGAAGAGTGCCTGGTCTGGTCGTTGAAGGACAGCAGCGACCGGCTGTCGGGTGCCTCAGGCCGGTGGAGCAGAGCAGAGCTCACGTCTGGGCAGTCATTTCTCCTCCCTCCTCGCCCGCTCTGTTCCTGCTCTTCCTCCTCCTCCCTCTCTCTCTCGTTCTCTCTGGTACTATAGGAGCCTCTTTTTGTTGTGGTTGTTCAACCGCTGTTTAAAATTTTTGATAACAGCCTTGTTGAGATATAATTCACATACCATGCAATTCACCCATTGAAAGTGGACGATTAAATGGTCTTTAAAATAGTCACAGAGTTGTGTATCCATCATTACAATCCATTTTAGAACATCTTCATCACCCCAAAAAGAAATCCCCGACCCTTTAGCCACCACCCCATAATACCCCCATTTCCTCCCTGACCCCAGCCCTAGATCGTCACTAATTTACTTTCTATCTCCGTGGATTTGCATGTTCTGGACATTTCATGTAAATAGAATCATGTAACGTGTGGCCTTTTGTGTCTGGTTTTTTTTGTTGGCATGGTGTTTTTAAGGGTTATCCATGTTGTAGCATGTGTCAGAACTTCATTCCTTTTAATGACTGTATACTGTCCCATTCTATGGCTACACCTCATTTTATTTTATTTATGCATTCACCAGTTGATGGACATTTGGGATGTTTTTACTTTTGGGCTGTTATGAACACAACTTGAACGTTCGTGTACATGTTTTGTGTCGACGTGGGTTTTCATCTCTCTTGGGCAGATACCTGGGATGGAATAGCTGGGTCGTACAATCACTCCACCTTTAAACACGGTAGCTCTTAACTATTCTCTCACTTCTGTCTTTGCCCCCTACAGTCTGTTCTCACCACAGCAGCCACTGTGACCCTTTAAAACTGCGGTCCCCAACCTTTTTGGCACCAGGGACCAGTTCCACAGACTGGGGTGGGTAGGGGGATAGTTTCGGGATGATTCAAGCACATTACATTTATTGTGCACTTTATTTCTATTATTATTACATTGTAATATATAATGAAATAATTATACAGCTCATTATAATGCAGAATCCAAAGTCGCCGCTGATGTGGCAGGCGGTGATGCTGAGCAATGGGGAGTGGCTGTACAGACAGATGAAACATTGCTGGCCTGCTGCTCGCCTCCTGCTGTGCAGCCTGGTTCCTAACAGGCCATAGACCAGTACAGGTCCGTGGCCTGGGGGTTGGGGACCGCAGCTTTAAAATATAATTCAGACCATATTTTCTTTCCTTAGATCTTCCCATGTCTCCCCAGCTTGCTCAGTGTCCAAGCCCAAGCCCTCCCAAAGGCCTACAGGAGCCAGTGGCCCTGGCCCCCTCTGTCTCCAGTTCCTTTCCTATGCTCACCCCACTTCAGCAACCCAGCTTCCTTCCCATCCCTTGAACATGCGTCAGCGCCTTTGCACTGGCTGTTCAGTTACCCTGTGCCTTTCTCCTTCTCCTCTTTCAAATTCTGTTTCTAAAAGCCACTTCTTGATGATTTCTTCTCTGCTTTCCTCCTTAGAGGGTGGCTTCTCTGAACCCTTCCCACCTTCCTTCCCTTTGTTATTTTTTCTCCAAAGCATGTATCACATTCTGATAAAGAGAATTTGTTTTCTGTCTTCTCTTACTAGAATATAGCTCCTTAGGGCAGAATTTGCTTATTTGTTTGTTCTGTTCCCTTCTCTACTCCAGTGCCTAGATGGTTGCCTGGCACATAGTAGATGCTCATTAAATAGCTAGTCGATGAATGAACTTGTTTTTCTTTCTGAATGTCTCTTCTCCTTCTCTACCTCTTTATTGTCTGGTACCTGACACTGTCCTAGGTGCTGGGGATACAAAAAATGAATAAGATATGACTCATCTCAGTCAATGTGTGTCGAATGAATCTATTGGTTTGACTCACGTGGGGGCAGGTTCTAGTTTCCACTCTAGAAGTCGGCTTTGGATTTAAGGACTGCTCTGAGAAAGACTGCCTGACAGATTTGCCTTTCTCCAAATGCCCAGCTCTGATGGGCCCCAGGAGAGCCTTGGCCCTGCCCCCACTAGAGAGCCCAGGGAGCCCCCCAGCTGCCCTGGCCTCACTCGCTGCTCCTCTGCCTCCAGCGCAAGGCCATCGAGCGGTTCTGCAGCGAGGTGAAGCGGCTGTGCCACGCCGAGCGCAGGAAGGACTTTGTCTCCGAGGCCTACCTCCTGACCCTGGGCAAGTTCATCAACATGTTCGCTGTCCTGGACGAGCTGAAGAACATGAAGTGCAGCGTCAAGAACGACCACTCTGCCTATAAGAGGTCAGGGCGCCCTCCCCGTCTCCCTTCCCCAAACTGGGCCCCTCCTCCTGGGCAGCCACCACGTGGAGGAAGAGGATGGAGCCCTTCTACCGGGTCATTCTCCGGTACCACGCTAGCCACTCCCAAACACAGCAGGGCTAGGCCCGAGTCAGTGTGGTTTGAGGAATAGGATGCAGAGCTGGGTCTTGGGGGAACCTGGATCTTTGCAGAGGTTTATGTCTCAGGATGGAATCAAATCTTCATTTCTCCCATCTGTGGAGCATGAATATGGGACCAGTAAGATAATGGTAAAAGGGTTACGTTAGTCACTTTGTGTAAGAATCAGAGAGCCAATTCAAAGTGCTTATGTAAAAGAAGGGAACGAATTGGCGCTCAGACCTGGAGAGTCCAGGCTTCCCTGCGCCAGGTGCTCAGATGATGGCGTCAGCTTGACTTTCCTCTGTGGCGGCTTCATTCTCGAGTGTCTGGTGGCCTCGGGCAGCTTACAGCAGCTTCTGCCTCCAGCCAGGGTCACAACCCTGACTTCTAAAGAAGGGGAAGATGCTCTTCCTCCCAAATACTTCAGCAAAAGTCCTGAGGAGGATTGCGTTTGGTCCAGCTCGAGTCGCCTGCTAGCCCCTGCATCGGTCTCTGGTGGGGGCCAGGGGTGCTCTGCTTGGAGTCAGGGGTCTGTGTCAGCTCATAGGAAAGGAGGACTGAGAATGAGGGAGGGGTCATTCCTCTCCAGAAATCAGGTCACAGATCCCCAGAAGTAAGGGAGGGCAGTCAAAAGCATCAGATATCCTCTGTGTTGGCAGAGGCTCAGACGAGCTGCACAGTGTCTAGGGACATCTCTTGGGAAGGATTTGCCATGTCACTGGTAAGACGGACCCTCCTCTTTGAACCACGTCCTCCTGGGATGCTAAGGTAACTGCAGAGATCGGGCTGAATCTCAGTTTTATCCTCCTGAGTCAACTGTGAAGCCTGAGGCTGCCCAGCAGGCAGGGGCTCATCTCAAGGCTGACTCCGAAGTGACAACTTCAAGTAGATTTCAGAGATAGCTCACAGCGTAATCTCTTCCCCCCAGTTCTGCCCAGTTGTGGCCAGCCGCTTCCGTCATGGCCACAGTCCACAGCCTCTGCAGCCCCGCTAGGTCGTGAGCAAGGTGGGGTGTCCTGTCTCTGTTTTCACAGTTCATGGTGACGCAGGTGGCACCAGCACCAGGTTAGGCGGAGAAGCCCGAGCAGGTGTGGTTTTCTCTCCTCAAGTCCTGCTTGTGTTCCCTCTGCCCTGACCCTTTCACCGGCAATCCCGTTAGGTTAACTAGACTTCTGTTATCTAAACAGTGCTTTGCTCTAGAAACATTGAGGTTTTCCTACAAATACCAGAATATGCAACAAAAACAAAGCATCCGACCTGTGATTCTTCTTCATAACTTACTGTGTAGCTTGCCTGGCGGTCACAGCAAGGTACAGGGTGCTCATTTCGCCCCCTGTATTACCTCTCCTGGCTGATTGATGGGATACTAGTTCCCCTTAAACTTTCTGAGATTTCAGAGATTTTCAGTACGTTTTTGCCTTTTAATTTCAGGGACCCTTAATTACAAAGGGTATAAGCGGCCCCAAAAGAAATGACTTCAGAGCACACTGTGCCTTGATGTTAGCATCCCCTGGGATATTTGGAGCTCGTTAACCTTGGGGACAGTGGCACTCTGGGCTAGGTTGTGTCGGGAGCCCGTGAGGCGTGGCCTTGGCAGTTGCGTGTGGACGGTCCTCTCTGCATCACCTGCTGTCTGTTCTCCAGGGCGGCACAGTTCCTGAGGAAGATGGCGGACCCCCAGTCTATCCAGGAGTCGCAGAACCTGTCCATGTTCCTGGCCAACCACAACAGGATCACGCAGGTGAGGGCAGAATCCTCGTCAGTCCTGGCCTGGCGTCTCGGGGGATACAGGCCGGGGTCTCGAGGTTGTGTGGGCCGCGAGCCCAAGCAGACAAGCTCAGTCCACGCCTTCCGTTTCCACTGGCCTATGTGAGAGTGAGAGAAAGCTGCAGACTCAGTCTCCCGTCCCAGCCAGATGGCCGTTTCCCCCCTCCAGATTTCATCCCCTGGAAGCCCTTTCAGCCGGTGCTCTGCCCCCGCATCTGTGCAGAGGTTGACAGCATGGGGTCTAGAGTTAGGCAGCCTTGTTTGCTCATCCTGGACTGCCTCTGACCCATTGTGAGACTTTGGGCGAAGTCCAAGCCTCAGTGCGCTCATCTGTCAAATGGGTTTGTTAGTTTAAGCATATTATGAGAATCCATCTCACAGGACTATTGTTAGAAATAAATGAGATGGTATTTAAAAAGCCCTCATCATGCAGAGCCTGACAGATGGTAAGAGTGTAAGAAGACGTAGCTATCGTTCAGCTGCCACGCTTTGCCAGGGCACCCCCTCTCAACCGTCACTTCTCCTGTTCTACCCAACATGACATAACCCGTCTCCACCTCTGTCAGTGCAGAGTAAACAGGTGCCAGCAAGAATGCCTGCAGGACCCAGGCCAAAACTGAGAGGGGCCTCCACCTTCCAAGGGTTTTCAGGCTCAAATCCCTGTCCTCGAAACCCTGGGGTTGGCAGGGCCCTCGCTACTTTGTGTTAACTGCAGAAGGCTGCTCAGCCACCGAGGCTCCAGGTTTTCTCTCCTGGAGCCCCGGCCCCCTGTTGCCCGTGGAGAGCACCAGCCGTGCCCTCCTCTGGATGTCCCGCAGGAGAAGGGGGCTGGAGTGGGGGCCTCCTTCCCTACCAGCAGATGTTCCTGCACTGCTGTGTCCTGCTAGCAGGGAGACACCAGCAGGCCCACCTCTCCTCCTCTGCCATGGTCTGCAGATACATCAGAGATGAGTCCACATCCTCAAAACTAAGCTGAAATGACTACAAGCCCGTTGCTATAAAGCTGAGCAGATTTTCAGCTCAGCCCAAGAAAGCACTTTCTAGCCATCGGAACTGCCAGGGAATAAAACGGAGCACGCAAGTGGGGTGCGTTCCTGCCGTGGGAGGTGCGCAGGAGCGCTGACCAGCCCCTGCGGGGACACTGGGGAGAGGATTCAGGTGTCAGGTGCTGGCTGGCTTGAGGGCTCCCCTTCAGCTGGAGCTGTCCGCGACTCTGGGCCTTCAGTGGGGGGCCATGTGCTCAGTCGCCAGCCACTGGGCCCAGGCGCCGGTGCAGGACACATGCGCTGCCTAACCAGAGGGTGGCGCTGCTGTTTAGTGTCTCCATCAGCAACTGGAAGTGATCCCAGGCTACGAGGAGCTCCTGGCCGACATCGTCAACATCTGCGTGGACTACTACGAGAACAAGATGTACCTGACCCCCAGCGAGAAACACATGCTCCTCAAGGTAAGACTCCCTGGGCCATATGCCACAGGGCCTGCCCTCTAACCTCCTCCTTATTTAAAATCATTTCTAAAAAATAATAGTTGTTTTTTCTTAAACGTAAATACAGATCTTACAGCAGGTACTAGTTTGCAGCCTGCTCCTTTCCTTTTAGTATGCCATATTCGCCTTCCAGGTGCCATTAAGGATTTTCCTGTGGTGTAATTTTTAATGACTGCTGGGTATGCCATCATATGGGGACGTTGTTATTTAACACATCCCTGATGGCTGGATATTTGTTTGCTGAACTACATTAAACACCCTTGTAGTACAGCCTTTGTGCCCATCTTTTTGTCAAGCCAGACTTCCTGGAAGAGAAATCGTCAACTCAGAAGGCAGAATCTTCAAGCTTTTGCTACATTTTGCCAAAATGATCACAATTGTTTTATCAGTTTACAAGTTTCATTCCAGAATTATTGTCACACGTATTGTGGAAAATCTGGAGCATACAGTAAAGCATAAAGCCCTGCCCTGCTGTCTCCATTTTACGTTTTGTAGCACCTCAGTTACGTTTGCAGGGCTGGGTGGCTTTGTGACTTGTTCACTCTGGCTTCCCTGCACCCATCAGAAATCCAGGGAAGTCACCCAAAGTTGAGACGGCCTCTCACCCGCAGTGCGGTAGCCATCCCCGGGCTTGCTGTCTCCACAGGCTGGGTCACTAAATTCCGTTCCACCACGCAGTTGTAGATGGTGCTTTCCAATTCCCGGACCCTCCTTTTCCCTCGCCCACCTTTAATCCCTCCACACCTCCACCTCCCGGCCTTCCTCCCTCTCGGTCCCCCACCCTCCTCGGCCGGGCCTCCCCCATGGTTTCCCCATTTCCTCTCTGCAGTTTGCCTTGGTGACCACAGGTGCCACCAGGGGGTGCCACCCACCTTACAGGGAAAAGTGTGGCGTTCATCCTGCAGGGCAAACTGCACCCAAGGGGGACGAGACCTTAGCAGGCTCTGGTCTCCCTCCTTGATGTCAGATGAGAAACAGAGGCACGGAGAGAAGTGACTTTCCCATGGTCACACAGCTATTCAAGCCCCTTCAGCTGTGCACGTTCAAAGAGCAGGCAAGCCAGCATTCAGGAGATTTAAGTAGATGGAAATCAAGAACGCTGACTTACAGCACATTTTCACGAACAGGTTCGTTGTTAAAAAAGTCACCAGTGGCTCCTTGAGAACCTTTACATTGTCGGTTCTGTGGGGAAGGAAGTGGAAAGATATGTTTACAGTCACTCACTGTTCGGCAAGGATTCGTCAGGTGCCTGGGTGTGCCACAGCCCAGGGACACAGCGAGGAGCTGGAAGCAGTCCTTTCTCTCGGGAAGGACCTAAGTGAGCAGATTTTGTCGACAGATCCTGGTTCAGCTTCTGTCTCTGCAGCTTGGCTGTGTGACCTTGGCAAGCTGTCTAACCTCTCTGCGTCTCTGATTCTTCATCGATAGAATAAGGTTATTGTATAGAACTTACAAGATTGTTGTGAGAATTAAGAATAATGTTTGTTACAGCCCTAAGCACAGACTCTGGCCCATTGTAAGGCCTGAAGAATTAGCTGTCATAATAATTTACTAAATTTCTGTTTGAAATTAGACCTATGTTTCCTGTCTTGATTGGAAGACACATGGGTTTTTATGATTGGATGTCTCTACAAGATGTATGGATGTGTGTATTTTTTTTTTTTTTTAACTTTTCCAATGGATGTGATTAGCCTCTGTGCTCTGCCCCTTCTCATTCTAGGTGATGGGCTTTGGCCTTTACCTGATGGATGGAAATGTCAGTAACATTTACAAACTGGATGCCAAGAAGAGAATCAATCTTAGCAAAATTGATAAATTCTTTAAGGTCAGCCACTGGGGCTGGGGCAAGGCAGAGGGCTGGGGTCACCAGAGCCAGGATGTCTTTGGGAAAAGGAATGAAATTAGCCAGAAAACTGTGGGGCTTATTAGTTGGGCTGTACCTCCAAAGAGCCCAGGAGGAGGCGAATGGAGTGACAGGGCCTGCAGCTGCGGTCGGCAGAGGAATTTGCTCTGTGGAAGGCCGCACGTGAAAGCCACACATGCCTCTGAGTCTCAGGATTCAGCTGGGATTTGGCTGGGAGGCCCTGTGAGTCTTTTTGCATGCTGTTTTTTTCCGTTTCCTGAAATCTTTTGTCACCTAAGGAAAGAGGTGCATCCCAAAGATAGTGTCTGCTTTAGTTTCCAGTATAAATCAGAGTTCACAGAAATAGGAGGATTAAAGCCTGGATTTTAAATTGATTCACATTTGCAAAATCACAGCTTTGTGCTTGGTCCATAGAAGGCCACCCCAGCCTTCCCTCACCTCTGGGCAGAATTCCCCATCAGCATCCGCATACACCAGTCCATTCCAGTGCCTCCAAGATTCGATCTTTTGGCCCCAAATCTTTAAAAACTTATAGTTAAATTAAGCCTTTGAGATTTTTGCAAGGAGATTTTATACTTTGGAATTAAATTGCATGTTATCAATTTATTCTAGCATTAGGCACTGCAGGCGTGGAGTGGGCCTGAGGGGTCAGACATGGGATTGCCCAGCTTACCATGAACAGCAAGACCCCTTAAAGGCAGGGTCTAGGTCCCACTGACTCTTCAAGGTGAAGAGGAACATAAGTCACCAAGAGGAGACCTGTGACTTTTCTTCACTTTTTTTCAAGGCTGGAACTTTTACTTTTCTCTTGAGTTGCCCCAAATGAAAACAGGACTCAGCTTGGGAGACCCTTGCAAAATCTGCCTTAAGTCAGCATGAACGAGATGAGGGTAGCACAGAAGAATACAGCCTCTCCACAGACAGGCCTGGGTTTAAGTCTGGCGCTGCCACGGCTGGACGGCTTTGGGAAAGTCACTAAATTGCCCTAAACCTAGTTCCCCAGTCTGAAAAATACGAATGCTAAGGACATCTACTCTGTAGGGTTCCCTGAGGACTCAGTGGGATTCCATAGGTGAGTCAGAGCCCTGGCTTAGAATCAGGGCTCCTGGAATTCTAGCTGGTCTGACTTTGGCAAAAATCACGTACGCTGTTTAAACTTCAGTTTCTTCACCTGGGAAGCGGGAGTGGTAAAAGTACTGACTTCACAGGGTTCTTGTGTGGTCTGAGATACTGCCCGTAACGTGCTTGGCACAGGACCTAGTGCGTGAGAAGCAGACGTTAAATACCGGCCTCCCCTCCATTCGCCCTGGCCTTTGATGGGGAGTTGTCTGCCCTCTGGTGTTAGGCGTTACTATGGTGTTCATGACTTTCACGGTGTAGACTCTCTCGGGAAGGCCACACCCAGCCAGCGGCACTCAGACACCCGCATAGCAGCAAGGACCCTCGAAGCTGGGGAACATCAGAGCAGAAAGGACCCTGCGCTGGGTGGTAGGCCGTCTGGCCCTTGGCCTTCCTCCATTCTGCTGGCTGGTGACCTTAGGCAAGTCACTTTGCCTTGCTGGGCTCAGTTGCCTGGAACACAGAGTTGGTTGGAGGCAGAGGAGGACCTGTACACAGGCTGGGGCTCCTTTTGGTCCCAGGGTCACACGGTGGCACCATCAGCGGAAACTAGGGCTTGGCCCCCAGGCACACCCAGAGCCCTGCCTCCCCCAGTGGGGTGACAGTGAAGACTGCCGCGCTCCTCCCCACCCTCGGCGTCTCACGAGCTGTGTTTGCTTCCTTTGCAGCAGCTGCAGGTGGTGCCCCTTTTCGGCGACATGCAGATAGAGCTGGCCAGATACATTAAGACCAGTGCTCACTATGAAGAGAACAAGTCCAAGTGAGTGCCTGCCGTAATGTCTCTCGGCTCCCGCGAGGACACCCAGCCTGGGCAGGGAGCCAAGGGGCCACTTTAGCCCCTCCTCCCTCCCCAGAGCCCTGGGCAGGTGCATTCCGTCAGAACACTGGCGCCGGCTGGAGGGGAGCTGCGGAGGGTGCTCTGAGCCCTTTTGTTTCCGTCCTTTGCTGCCAGGTTCAAAAGGGCCAGAGCACAGCCACGCCCCTGTCCAGCCCAGCAGTGACCGGTGTATCCCGTCAGTGGGACAGCTAGAGCCCTCCTCCTTCCTTTGAGAAGGGGGGCGGAGTGGCTGGCCCTCAGTGGTCGGGGCGAGAGGCGGTGTCATTCTTCCTCACCTGTGCAGTGAGTCCATCGTGGAGTGTGTGGTCTGTCTGGTCCCGACGATGGAGTAGGTTGACAGCCTCACCTCGGGTCACTTTACAAACCACAATCCCAGGTAGCCTGTGCTCAGGCCTGGGGTGTCAGTGTCTCACAGGAGTTGGGGTGCATCTGGCTTTTCCTTGGCTACCTCTTTGATCTCTGAGGCTATCAAGGAGGTTCCTTCTGCGTGCGTCTTGCTCGAAGTTGAGTGGATGTTGCCTTCCCATACAGAGGGGAACTGGCATCCGTTAGTCCAGGGTGAGGGTGTCAGTGCCTTAAAAAGATACGAATGGCACATCTTTGAACTGCACCCGCCTGGACCCGCTGCGAAGGAGTCTCCCCAAGGAGAGCCAGTTTAGTCTCTTCACAACCCTCCGGCTGCTAGGGTGTGGAGAGGTTTTGTAGGAAAATCAAGGAGTGCTGAACGCGTTTCTTCACTTTCCCTGCATGACTTCCCGACCACCTGAGGTTGGTTGGGAGTGGAGGCTGCTGGGGGGACCAGGGTGGGGTGTCAGGTTTGAGGGGTGGTATGCCCCATCCCTACACAAGTAACTCAAAATGAAAGCGATAGCAAAGGGTAAGCCCGGGGAAGACCATCGCCACTCTGCTGTTCTTCCGAGGACCACTTCAGGGACCCTTTGGAAATACTAAATTCTCCCCAAATATGTTTCTGCCTTGTGTGGTGCTCGTGCTTAGACTCTGCTGGGTCACCAGTACCCAATGGCAGGAGAGGGTAAAGGGAGTTGTCTTTTGTCTCGGGTGGGTGGAGAGAGAGGATTTGCATTCATTCACTTTCTCCATGATTCAGGATGGTTTTCCCAATGACATCTTTCCAAAAAGAGTTGAGGAGAAAGAAGAGAGGGTGGGAGAGGAGGAGAGGGTGGAGAGAGAGAAAGAGTAGAGCAGGGGGAGGGAGGAAGAGAGTGCAGCCAGGTAGCTTCCCTCCATGGGGTGCTTCCGAGTTGCCAGGTCACTGCTGGAAAGAGGCATAATCCCTTTTAGGTCTCCCTAGTCCTGGCCCAAAGGCCCTCCAAAACTCAGCTTCACCTGCAGACTGTTAGTGCTGTCGGAGCCAGCAGACATGTTCAGGGAGGTTGCCCACCTTTTTATTTGCATGGATTGCAGTCCTTTGTACCCCTAGAGAGGCTGGGGTTCCCCCTTCTCGTACTGCTGGTAAGTATTGTGGACTACATGTCTGGAAAGGCCTGCCATGGGGTCTTAACAGAGGCTGGCCCCAAGGAGAAGGAGGAAGGACTACTCCACTAAGCCTGTGGTCCCCACAGAGTTGTACTTAGAGGGCTCTCTTGCTAAGGTGGCTGGGGATGCCTTTTGGTGCCAGCCAGGGGAGCCAGCCACGCTAGGTGAGCCCCAGGAGCAGCTCGTGCCTGTCCCACCCAGGCGCCTGGGGCCGGGCCCCACTCCAACCCCCTAATTGTCTATCCAGGTGGACGTGCACCCAGAGCAGCATCAGCCCTCAGTACAACATCTGCGAGCAGATGGTTCAGATCCGGGATGATCACATCCGCTTCATCTCCGAACTCGCTCGCTACAGCAACAGTGAGGTGAGCGTGTCTGGCTGCTGGGATGTGGGCTGGGTGGGTGGGCCCAGGACCAGACGGGGTGAGGAGCAGCAGGGAAGGACATGAACCCATGGGTGCTGGAGAGCTGGAGTGAGGCAATGCATGTCAGAGGCAGAAGGGCGTGGAATTTAGAGACAGACTGAGGTTAACACTAGTTCTGCTGTTGCCCTTTGCAAGTTATTAAACATCTCTGAGCCTCAGTTTCCTCATCTGCACAATGAGGGTAAAAAGAGTATGTATTCATTGAGAGGATTAAACGATAACGGTGCCTGGAGCATGCATTGTGCCTGGCGGATGGTAAGGGCTCAATAATTATGAGTTCCGCCTGCACGTGATCCAACCCATCTTCACCCTGGATGGCGAGAGGAACCGAGTTCTGAACACTCACGCTCAGAACACCATCTGAACATTTCTAAACTACACAATAGTAAATGATCATTGTAAAAAACCGGAAATACAGTTAGTGAAACTAGGAGACCATAAAAATCTCCTGTAATCTCAGTAATTATGTTTCATTGAATTTTCCTTTTTTTCTAAGTATTTTTTAAAATATGGAAATGTGATCAATGCACAGACCTCAAAAAAATAAAGATATGCAAAAGGAGAGAAAATTGTGTAAAATCTTGCCATCCCAGAACCAATTATGATCGATTTTTGGGTATATCTATCCTTTTGGATCTTGTCCCACGTACACCCTTCTAACATGTGTTGTTTGATAAACACAGGGCCCCATATTGCTTTATTCCCCAGCTCTCATAGATGGCTCTGTTCTACCCTCGTTTGCTCCTGGTTCTGCCATTGGCTAGTGGCCATAGGGATCATGCTTTCCAAACCCAAACTCTGGGGATGTCTTTGGTCACAGAGCAACATATTGGAAATGGGGACAGTCTGACAAATGCAGCAGTGCGGTCGTTAGACCAGTGGCCCACATGGACCAGCATCAAGCCCGAACCTTCAGCTTTCTTAACCACGTATGTCAATCCACTGAACTGAAGCTACAGGAATAACTTACCTTGAGTGCTAGGGCTCCTTAATTCCCAGTTAAGTTTTGGTGTGGTCCAAAAGTGGCATATTGCACTGGCCAGGGATATCTTTAAAAATTACATGCTTTATACATATGTATGAACAGTCGATTCTCATTATTCTCAGTGGTTATGTTCTATAAAGTGGTCACGAACTCTGAATTAGCAAATACTGAATCATCATTCCAAGGAAAAAATACAGAGTTACATTCCTGGGTGCCTCTGGTCACATTTTTGTCAACCGATCTACGTGTTATACGTGCTTCTGTTTAAAGACCCTTTATGTGATATATGTTGTTGGTTCATTAACATTAATTCATGGCCAGCAGCACTGTAGCTTATGCCTGCGCAAAGCTCATCTAAAGCACGCATATTTTCATAAGGTGTGCTACAGCTTTCTTATACATAGGAACACCGTGTAGTACATTAGACCTAAGCTTGGGGACCATTTTATGTTGTGAAATCACCAGTAAAAAGCACAAAAATATGGACAACATGGCATTAAACAGACCACGAAAAGGACACGTGTTTACAGTATGAGAGCTGAAACAAGATGGCGGAGAGTCACTTTGTCCTCAGCTGGGAATGTGCATGTGTCTGCAAATGACTGAGAAATTGCAACAAGTGTTGATTTTGGGGTTACAAATACATTTTAGCAAGTAGGTTAATTCAAAATACAGAATCTACCAATAATGAAGACTGGCTGTATCTGTATATATGTGCATGTACATATACGCACACACATTTGTGCATATACACGTTATATTTCATTGTGGAATATTCCACATACAGACAGATGTCTGTACCAGTGCTTTCCAATCATTGAGTCATGTCTAATGAATGAATTGTGAAGTCAATTTTGTGGTTTATGATTAGCATTTTTGTATGAAATAGAATAAAAAATCAGGAAATCCCATGCATTAAGAATAAGATTGCTTTGTGAAAAATATTGTTGCATACATGTATTTAATATCTCTATGTAAGTATGTGTTCCTGAGTTACTATATAGTGTGCCCTTCCTACTGTGAATGCAATCAAAAAAGTTCGACAGGCGATGCCCTGTAGTATACCAAGGTGGGTATAAAGCTCTGGCGTCACACCACCTGAACTTGAACCCTCGACTGTTTGCAAGCCGTGTAGCCTTCAGCAAGGCACCTGTCTCAGCCCCAGTTTATCTGTCAAGGGGATATAATAATAGAACTTCTCTGTAGTGTTCTTGGGGGGAATCGATGCAATAATGTGTAACAGTCCCGGGCACTTAGACAGCGAGTGTGATGGTCAGTGTTCCCCAGGTGGTGACGGGCTCGGGGCTGGACAGCCAGAAATCAGATGAAGAGTATCGCGAGCTCTTCGACCTGGCCCTGCGGGGCCTGCAGCTGCTGTCCAAGTGGAGTGCCCACGTCATGGAGGTGGTAGGTGTCCTTCAGACAGAGGGCCTCATGCTGACCTCTGTTCCCTTACATTCTGCCTCTTTCTCTCCCCAGCACTCTTTTTAAAGCAGCTTTATAGAGATGTAATTCATATACCACATTATTTACCCATTTAAAGTGTACGTTCATTGGTTCTTAGCGTATTCACAGAGTTGTATGACCACAATCAAATTTAGAACATTTTCATCACTTCAAAAAGAAACCTCGAATTATCCCCCAGCCCTATGTAATCTACTTTCTCTCTGTAAAGCTTTCCTTATTCTGGATGTTTCACATAAATACAGTCATATGTGGACTTTTGTATCTGGCTTCTTTTATTTCACATTTTCAGAGTTTATCCGTGTTTTAGCGTGAATCAGTACCTAGTTCCCTTTTTATGGCTGAGTAATATTCCATTGCATGGCTACGCCACGTTTTGTATATCAGTGGATGGACATTTGGATTGTTCCCACTCTCTCCAGTACTCTTGGAAGCTGGTTCACCCCACAGACAAGTTCTGCAACAAGGACTGCCCTGGCACGGCGGAGGAGTACGAGAGAGCCACACGCTACAATTACACCAGCGAGGAGAAGTTTGCCTTCGTTGAGGTAGGTGCTGACTCGCTGCAGCTCCTCCCCACCTCTCCGAGACTGCTGTCTCAGGCCGTTCTGAGCAAGATGACAGCGTTGGCCCTCCTAATCTGCACACTCTTCCCCGTCCCCTTCTCCCATCCGAATCAATCTGTCAAAAGTTGTTATTCAGAAATGATTAGAAACTCATTCTGTTCTTAAAAGTCCAAAGAAAAATGTCCACTCCACTAGAAAAATGGGCAAAAAGAAACCAACAGAAGAAACAAAAGTGAAAATGAATGGCTAAAAGAGATATAAAAATGCCCAAACTGATAAGTGGTCAAAGAACTATAGATTAAAAGTAAGATGGGATCTAGGGTTTACCAATCAGGATAGCCAAGATTTGAAAGAAGGGTGGTGTCTGTTGCAGGTTGAAGTGTGGTAAATAGACGTTCTGAGATATGATTGGTGTCCAGTCTGCATTTTATAGGTTTTCCACAAAGGCAATCTGATCATATGTATTCACACTTTTCTTTTTTTTTTTTTTATTTCAGCATATTATGGGGGTACAGATGTTTAGGTTATGTATGTTGCCCTTGCCCCCTCCCCCGTATTCACACTTTTAATCTAGGAATATATCCCAGGGAAATAAGCCAACTGTGCAGAGACATATGTACATGGGTATTTATCATAGTATTATTTATAATACCAAAATATGTGAAGGAACTTAAGTGTCCTTCAACATGAGACCAGGTAAATAAATTAAGATACAACTATACCATTGAATACTATGCAGTTGCTAAAAAAGATATATTTACATGGAAAGCTATGCTAAGTATATTAAGTTAAAAAAAAAAAGATAACAGCATGTAAAATGATTACTTTTACATTAAAATTAATATACTTTTGTATATTCACTCAAAACTGAAGGGCATAAATATTTATATATACCAAAATATTAATAGTAATAATTTCTGGAGGAAGGACTCTTCCTGCTTTATAACTTTTTAAATTGTTTTTTGATTGTTTGATTACAAAATAGTATCTCTATTTGGGAGGAAAACTCATTCAGACTATGTTGTGAGTGAAGCTATCTCTTTGATGACCATTTGAAACTTACAAGAGACTGGTCTAGAGGTCAGAGGCCTGGATCCTAGCCCTGAGCCCTGGGGACAGTTCATTTCTAAGCCTCAGCTTCCTTATCCGTAAAATGGAGCTAATAATCTCTGCCCTCTCCCTTCCCAAGGTTATTGTTGAGAATCAAACAATAATTGTCAAATGAGAGAATGGAGGTAGCTGAGCTTTGAAAACTTAAAGGATCATACAAATGTAAGAGGTTAGAATTGTTATTTAGCAGATCTCCAAGCTGCATTTTAAAGGACTGAGGCTCGGTGGTATTGTTTCAGAAAGGAGAAACATTCTAATCACTCTCAACATTGTCCTGAGTGGCCCCCAAACCTCTTGGCCCTTCATAGTCAACCTGGAAAAAAGCTTCCCAGGCCTCATCACTGGAAGAGAAATTCACCCTCAAGCCCATTTAAAATGAGACCTATAGTCACAGGGTCCAGGCAACTTTGTAAAACTGTTTGTGTTTCTTTCCTTAATAAAAGGGATGCACATGCTCTATCGGTGATTTAGAAAATGCTCCTCCAGCCTCACTCCTGCCTTTACCTTCCCCCAGCCTCCTACCATCATCCAGATACAACCACCAGGAACATTTTACTGTATTTCCTTCTAGTTCTTATTTTGCTATACATCGAGAGGTCTTATCATTTTTATCTTACTAGTAAAACATGTTTAAAAGTTTAAAAAGAAAAATAGTTCTACGGGGCCTGTAATAATAAAATAAAGCAAAAGTAGTAACCTGCACCACCCCACTCCGCTCTGAATCCCCAAATAGGAAACATCATTCAAGTTGTGAAGCTATTTCTTCTGGTATTTATCACCATGGTTCTAAGTAACAGGCTTCTGAGACTATTTCTTGGTTTTTCAATTTATGACATTTTCTGTTGATTTCCTACTTTGGGAGATAAGGATTTAGCTCTCTCATCTCCACTTCCCACCCTTCCCAACACACCCAGCTCCCTTTCCCCCATCTTCCCATAATAGTAAAGTCACACTTTTTAGTAAAATCAGTAGTCACCTTAAATTATTATGACTAGTAACTCTGGTTCATCACCAAGTCACATGGTCTAATATGAGTACATTTTTCTTGTGCCACTTTTGTTTTTCCTAGAATTAACAAAGCCTTATTTTTTGTTTTTTCTGTGAACCTATCAAACAGGCAACCATAAACATACCAACAAAATGTAGAACTTACAAAATAATCCATCACAATCATTATTTTGTGTTTTTTTTTTTTTTCTTAGAGCCATTCCTCCTGAAGTCCTCCTTCCTTTTTTTCTAATCTGCGGTGGTTTCCTCCGGACCAGCCAGGCTACTAATCTGAGATGCTCATCATCATTATCTTGAGGGTCTTCCTTTTTCTTCATATTGGTGACAGAGATCCTCCAATAGCTTCCTAAGAAAGGGATTATGGGGGGAAAATGTTTGAGAGCTTGAATGTCTGAAAATCTTTTTATTCTGATCTCACTTTGTAGTTGGCTACATATAGAATTACAAATTTTTTTTCCAAATTTTTAGAAGTGTTATTCTATTGTCTTCTAACCTCTGATGTTGCTCTTGAAAAGTTGGATTCTATTCTCATCCCCGATTCCTTGTTTTTTCCTCTGCAGAATTTTTAATATAATAGCTTTATTGAGATATAATTCACATACCCATAAAACTCACCCCTTTAAAATGTGCAATTCAATTGGCATGAACTCCTGGGCTTAAGCGATCTTCCTGCCTCAGCCTCCTTAGTAGCTGGGACTACAGGCAAATGCTACTGTGCCTGGCTAATTTGTTTTTGTAGAGATAGGGGTCTTGCTATGTTGCCCAGGCTGGTCTCAAACTCCTGGCCTCAAGTGATCCTCTCACCTTGGCCTCCCAAAGTGCTGGGATTATAGGCATGAGCTACTGCAACAGGCCAGTGCTGCCTAATTTTACAACACTTTTGTCACCCCCAAAAGAAACCCATACCCATTAGCAGTCACTTTCCATTCTTCCTCTACCCCTGGTCTCTAGCAACTACTAATCCTACTTCCTATCTCTGTAGATCTGCCCATTCTGGAGATTTTATATAAATGGAATCATATACTATGTGGTCCTTTGTGACTGGCTTCTTTGATTTAGCATACTGTTTTCAAAATTCATCCATGCTGTAGTATGTATCAGTATTCCATTACTTTATAGTTGAAGAATATTCTGTTGTGTGGATATACCACATTTGTTTATGTATTCATCAATTGCACATTTGTGTTGTTTCTTTTTGTCTATTATGGATAATGCTTATATGAACACTCATGTACAAGTTTTTGTGTGGAAATATGTTTTCATTTCCCTTGAGTATATACCTAGGAATGGAATTGCTGGGTCGTATGGTGACTCTATGTTTAAAGTTTTGAGGAGCTGCCAGACTGTTTTCCAAAGTTGCTGCACCATTTTACAGTTCCCAGCAACTGTAGGGTTGCAATTTCTTCACATCATTGTCATCACTTTATTATTGTCTTTTTCATTTTAGCCATCCTCGTGGGTGTGAAGTGGTATCTCATTGTGGTTTTAGCTAATAACTAATAATAGTGAGCTTTTAACTAGTGATATTGAGCATTTTTCTATGCTTATTGGCTATCTGCCTTTGGAGAAATGTCTATTCCAATCCTTTGCCCTTTTTTAATTGGGTTATTTGTCTTTTTATTTTTGAGTTGTAAGAGTTTTTATGTATTCTTGATACCAGTCCCTTATCAGATGTATTATTTGCAAAAATTTTCTCCCATTCCAAGGGTTTTCTTTTCACTTTCTAGATGGTACCCTTTGAAGCTCAAAGGTTTTTAATTTTGATGAAGTCTAATTTATTTTTTCTTTTATCACTCATGCTTTTCATGTCATAGCTAAGAAACCATTGCCTAATCCAAGGTCGCAAAGATTTACTCCTGTTTGCTTATAAGAGTTTTTATAATTTTAGCTCTTATATTTAGGTCTTTCATCCATTTTGAGTTAATTTTTGCATATGGAGTGAAGTAGGGATCCAACTTCATTTTTTTGCATGTGCATATCTAGTTGTCCTTGCACCATTTGTTAAAAAGAATGTTCTTTCTCCATTGAATTGTCTTGGTTCCCTTGTCAAAACTCAGTTGACCATAAATGTGAGAGGTTATTTCTGGACGTTAAACTCCCTTCCATTGATTTATATGGATACCTATATGCCGGTGCCACAGAGATTTGCTTACTGTAGCTTTGTACTAAGTTTTGAAATCAAGAAATGTGAGTCTTCCAACTTTGTTCTTCTTTTTTTATCTCTAGAATTTTATAGGCTCATCTCTTTATCCCTGCTTTTCTGAAATTTCACTGTGAGCTTAATGAGGACCTTTTACATTCATTTTTTTGGATTCTAAATAGACCATTTCAGTGTGAAAACACATGTACTTTAGGACTGAGAAATTTCCTTGTATTTTAATTTTGGCAATTTTCTCCTCTCTGTTTTCTTTCTTTTTTCTTTCTGGGTTTTCTGTTTGTCAGATGATGGGCTCCCAAAATTTGGTCCCTAATTTTTTAATATTTTCTTTCTTATTGTACCTCACTTATTTTTGGTCTGCTTTATGGGGATATTCCCTTAAATTCAACTTTCAATTTTATTAGGATTTTACAATTTTGGCTATCATATTTTTAATGTCCAAAAGTTCTGTCTTGTTCTCTGCATGTTCCTTTTTCACAACACCCAGCTCTTGTGTCATAAATGTGATCTCTCCATAACGATATTATAGTTTTTTGTAATCAGCTCTATTGAGGTATAATTTATAATTCAATAAACTGCATCCATTTAAAGTGTATAATTCAAAGAGTTTTGACAGTTGTTTATATACCTGTGAAACCACAAACAGAATCGAGATACAGAACATTTCCATCTCGCCTTACAGATTGTTTTGTTACTTTGCAATCCGTCCCTCATTCATTTCTTACCTAGTGGTGAACTGGCACTTTGAGTAGCACTGGCCTCATGTTTCCGGATGTTTCATACCCTCCTTCCCCCGCGAGGTGGTGGCGGGTGGTGGGCAGGCTGGTGTGCTGAGGCTTGGTGACCCTGACCCGTGGTCTGTGCCTGGCCAGGTGATCGCCATGATCAAAGGCCTGCAGGTGCTCATGGGCAGGATGGAGAGCGTCTTCAACCAGGCCATCAGGAACACCATCTATGCAGCCCTGCAGGACTTTGCCCAGGTGACGCTGCGCGAGCCCCTGCGGCAGGCGGTGCGGAAGAAGAAGAACGTCCTCATCAGGTGCGTGTGCAGATGGCCCTTTTCAGGGACACGTCAAAAATAAGTGGTGCTAAGTGCAGGCTGGAGAGGAAGTTCCTGCTCAGTCAGCTTCCAGATTAGTCTCTGAACACACGCAGATCCTTCCAGCAAGTTCCAGGGGTTCTCCTTAGGAGACTGGACATTTGGGATGAATGAAGCCTCCATGTCTGGGTTTGAAGCCCTATTCACTCGTTGTCTAGCTGTGTGAACCTACTCAAATTACCGACTTTAGAACCTCAGTCTTCCTTATTCGTAAAATGGGGATGATACGGTACCTACTTCGTAGCCTGTTAGGATGACGAAATGAGATAATCCATGTGTAGACCTAAGCACATGGCAGCATGGGGTCGGTATGCGATACATATAAGCTATTATGAAAACTTTAAATATACAGAGATTTGATGATTTCCTATAACCAAAAAGGAAAAATAATCACCCTACCTCACCCAAGTTCTTTCTCACTTCCCGGACTCAGAGGTGAGTTCGCAGACATCCAGCAGGCATCAGAATCATGTGGGACGCTTGTTAAAATGCAGATTTCTGGACCACACCTTAAATCTGTTAAGCAGCACTGGGGGGAGGCAGGAATGAGCATGCTTCACAGCACCCCAGAATTCTAATGCCGGTGGTCCCGGGACACGATGGGCCCCAGAGACACACACACGCAGTGCATCCTGCCGGTGGTGAGACCTGGTCTGAGTCTCAGTTCTTCCTTCCCCAGTGTCCTGCAGGCAATTCGGAAGACCATCTGTGACTGGGAGGGAGGGCGAGAGCCCCCCAACGACCCATGCTTGAGAGGGGAGAAGGACCCCAAAGGTGGCTTTGACATCAAGGTGCCCCGGCGTGCCGTGGGGCCGTCCAGCACACAGGTAAGTGGCTCCAGGCCCAGGCCAGCTTCATTGACTCAGAGGCCAACCGGGCCATGGCAGGTAATCGTGGTGGGACCGTGGGACAGGGCGATAGGGCCCCTCGATCAGGAGGGGCAGGGTTGAGCAGCTACTCTGGTCTTACTCCTCCGTCTTGTTTTGGTATAGAAAGGAGGACCACTGGCTTAAGATTCAGGAGACCTGAATTCTAGTCCCAGATACCTGTGTGACCTTGGGCATGTTACATAATCTCTCTGTGCCTCAGTTGTCTAATCTGGCCAATAGGGATAATAGCATATCCACCTATCCTGGCTATCTTGCAGCCCTACGAAGCACAGATTCCGAAGTGCAGGAGTTTAAAGTGGAATCTGTGTGCATCTGTCCCGTCTCTCTTTAATAAGCCCCTGCCCCCGCCCCTGCAGTGACATCCTACCTTGAAAATTCACAATTTCTGCCTCTGACTTGCTATGTGATCTTGGGCAAGCACCTTGACCTCTCTGAGCTCTGATTACATTCTCTGTAAAATGAAAACTTTGGATGAGATCATGTTACTGACAAAACACCCCTTATTCCCCACATCTTCCCCAAAGCACAGGTGTCCAAAGCCCTTGACCCCCTCAGTGAAAGTCTAGTAATCAGAAATATTCAGTTGCCAGCTAGAGCTGCCGTGCAATAAGAGGTTGCCTGTGGCTAATCCAAAACCGTCATAAAATTACAGGGGGAAAAAGTGAAAAATCTGGGCATCTTAGCTGAATCCTTGCCTCCTACTTAAGGATAAACAGTTTCTGGTCATCTTGCTAAAGTATTGAAAAAGCAGGTGGATCCCATTGCAGCTTTAGGGGTCTTACAGGCCCCAGAAGCCCCAGGCTGAGAACTCCTGCTTCACATGATCTTTAAGCCCCTTTCTGCCCTGGATCCTCCGAGGTCCACCCCCTGACCCTCCTCACTGTGTGTGTGTCTGTGTCTGGCAGGGGACTGGGGGCTGGGATAGGGGCGAAGTGGGTTCTGGCAGGTTCATCATAACTTCCCTTGGCTTCACAGCCCTCGGCCAGCTGGCGTTACTCTCACTCGCTGGTCGTGGAACGTCCCACGGAAGCGTCTACAAACAGGTCTGTGGAGTACCAAGGGTCAGAGACCTTTCCAGCCCAGAATGTCCCAGGGGGCACTGAACAGGGCTCGCAGGTGTTTCTGTAAGTCCTAAGACACGAGTGAGGAAGAGACAGACGAGGCATGAGAAAAACTGCAAAAGAGGATGAAGGAGGGGCATTAGCAGAAAGAGGGGAAGAAGGAGCATTTGTATAGCCAGTGTGAGAGGGGAGGGTCACCAACAGTGACCCCCACACACCACCAGGGCATGCCAGGTGGAACAGACATATTTAGCAGACTCCTAGACAGCAGAGCTGCAAGAGCTCTTAGGAAAAAAACCCAGTCCCTCCCCCTGTTTTACAGATGGGGAAACTGAGGTCCAGAGAGGGGAAGTGACTTGTCCAAGTCACAGGTGAGTCCCAGGTAGAGGTGGGACAAGAACCCAGGTCTCCTGACTCCCACCCAGGGCTGTGTCACAGCCTTCAGAACACGGTGGACATGGTGTCTCGCATAGCTGGGACGTAGACTGTTCTGGTGAATTAAATGCTCTGTTAAATAAAAGTAGGTGGGGACAGAGTTCACCCTCTTATGGATGAAGCCAGTCGTCAGACAGTCAGAGTTTGACATAAGCCAGGCAGCACCCACTCGAGACTGGACTCTGTGCATCGTTTCTTTGAGGACCTGGAAGGCCGTCATGAGAAGAGCGCGTCTCGATGCTTAGGGATGTTGGGACGCGCCCACTGGCAGGGCTGCGGACGGCGCGCTGTCTAATGAGCCGACAGCCGCAGTAGTTCCTTTACCGTGAAGGGAAGCCCTGCGGCAGGGACGGTGTCACGTGCTTCTGTGGCTGCACTGCCTAAAGCAGTGCCAGGCATGTGGCGGGGTCGGTCCCAGAGCACATCCAGAGGCAGCAAAGGTGATCGCGGTTGCTGGGAGGTTGGAGCATCTCAGAGGTGGCCTCTAGCAGTCGCGGCGGCGTTCCCACCGTATACAATACCTCTTGCTTTTCTCTCTCTCTCTCTTTCTCTCTCTCCCTCTTCCCTGTCTCTCCTGCCCTCCCATCCCTCTTCCTTCTCTCCTATCTATGTCTTAGGCCTGCCAGTGGTCCCCGAGGGCTTTGTTTCACCCCACTGGTGGCACACAGGGCCGAAGAGGCTGCCGATCCCTGGTATAACACCGCCTGGCGGGGTTGGTTTGGGTACCCTTCTCGAGGAGGCAGCAAGAATGGACTAGCCTGGCTCCTCAAGGCCCCTTCCAGCCCTAAGATTCACAGACAAATGATGTGGAAAGATCTAGATTAGCAAAGAGAACAAGCCCACCGCACTTGCATCCTTTGCACTTAAGGCACTCTGTAATCAGGAGTTAATTGCCTAGTAGCCTCCTGTGTAAGTACCAATGTTAACCTGCTTTCCACCCAGGATTTCAGCGGGCTGTGCAATGCAGCCGATGCCACCAGAGGGCACCATTGCTCAGTGATGGAGTCAAAAACGCTAAGGGCCGGAAACTTGAGGTGTGGGAGGGGGGTTCATTCTGATCTGACCCCATTTCACAGTTCCTCAGAGTGTTAGAGCTGAAAGGGACTGGTGTGAGAAAGCAACTGGTCCAACCCCCCTCATGTTAGATAAGACAACTGAGGCCCAGAATGGGGACTTTTTTGCCTCAGGTCACACAGCAAGTCAGTGGCAGCGCTTGGCCTTGAACCCTGGTCTTTTAACTCCCAGTCCAGTGCTCCATCTGTGGCACCTGTGGCCATCTCCTCTGATGCCCATGGCCTTGGCTGAGCAGAGCAGGCAGGAGCCTCTTCCTGGGCCTGGCACGACCTGCCCAGGGATGCTGGGCCCTGGGCGGAACTTACTGCCAGGCTCCCAGTCTCCCTCCTGAAGGTTTTCATGGTTCCAAATTGATTTCTCTGGCCCTAAACTGGTGCTTCCTTAAAACAATGCTTTTTAAGAGCAGACATCTACAGAAAAAAATAAATACAGCACAAAGCAACCTTTTCCCCCTGCGTTAGAGGGCCAGCTTCTGACCTTCTAATTTCTCTGTCTTTTTCAAGCTGTACATGGTGCGAACCATGCTTGAGTCGCTCATCGCAGACAAAAGTGGCTCCAAGAAGACCCTGAGAAGCAGCCTGGACGGGCCCATCGTGCTCGCCATAGAGGACTTCCACAAACAGTCCTTCTTCTTCACGCACCTGCTCAACATCAGTGGTGAGCCGCGAGGCCAGAGGATGGGGGCTCAAAGTTGCAAAGAGACATGATGGTTGACCCTAAGGGTCACATTTTTGCCACCAAGGGGGAAACACACACTTCCCGGTAGACTTCGGAAGCTATGCAAGGCCAGGCTCAGTCTAGCTATTCTGACTTAGCTAAATTTGTCTGGGAGATATTTGTGGCCAATTTGTCATGAAGTCCTTAATAGAAGGGGATTAAAAACAGGAATCCCCACGTGCAGACTCACTGGGCCCTAGACCAGCATCATGCTCCTCAGCCGCAGCCAGGAGCCGATTAGCACTTGCTGCTCCTGGCAGAGGAGCCTCCAGGCTGCCTCCCGGTCCTGTGTGCTCCATTCTTCCTCTCCTGTTAGAAAGATGCACGTCGAGGTTGCACAGGACAGGGTGGAGGAAGAGTAGCATCTCAGGGACATGAGAGTCTTAACGTGTCTGTTGGTACTGGAAGGAGTGATCTTGACAAACAGGACAAACTTCTCTGTTAGCGAGTAGCCTGGGAGGGGCCTTTGGGGCCTGCAAACAGTGCGGGATCTGGGAATTACCACACGGAAGGGGTGGGGAGCTGCAGCCCAGCTGAGAGCCGGCACTTGGGGGCTGTCTTGACCCTGTGTGTGTACAGCAAGCACGCGTTTTACCCTTAGATTGCCAGTTTTCAGGAGGGCTTTGTAGAGTGATGATGGAAATCATGCGGGCACCTAAAGCTCCAAAACATCTTCCCCACCCCACACACTACCACTGTCTCTGAAGCTTTACAAATGCAGTTTTTCAAGTAGACGTTGAGCCCGCCTTCAAGTACAAAAGAACAGCATCTACTAATCGGTATTTAGTACCTGCTCTGTACCTAGCAAGCACGGCGACAATCATAACAATAAACACTAATAAAAACAAGAAGAACCAAGGTCTTTTGGAGCTTCCTGCGCGTAACCCGAGGCCCGTTCCCTTGTGCTTGCAGAAGCCCTGCAGCAGTGCTGCGACCTCTCCCAGCTCTGGTTCCGAGAGTTCTTCCTGGAGTTAACCATGGGCCGGCGGATCCAGTTCCCCATTGAGATGTCCATGCCCTGGATTCTAACGGACCATATCCTGGAAACCAAAGAACCTTCCATGATGGAGTAAGAGGCAGGATTTGGCCAGCAGGAGCTTCCTGGGGTGCAGGTGGAGGGAGGATAGTTTTCCAGGGAGCTCTGTTCTTTCCAGACGGAAGTGCTGAGTTGACTAGAGATGATGCAGCGTGCCCCACCCGGGGGAGCCCAGGCCAGGGGTCAGGCCACGCAAGGTCGTTTGACTCAGCTTTGCAGACAGAGTCTGGAGTCTCTCCTCCACCCCAACTTCCCTCCCTGTACTTTGTCTGTCTCATGATAGCTCTGTTCAGAAAACAATCATCCCTGGGGATCAGGAAGCTAAAATCCTTAGTCACCACCAATTTATTACTAATTATTGATTATTTTAGTCCCAGACAAATTTGGTTTTATTTCATCATGGAATTTGATTTCTTTGGGCACACAGTATAAAGTAAGTCTTTCTCAAGTGCCAGAGGCCCTAGAGACATCGGAGAGGGCCGGCAGTGTGTCTTTTCCCAACTCTGACCTGGTTTATATTTCCCAAGCGAGGCAAATCCTCCTGCCCTAAGACAGCTCCTGAGCAAGCCGCTGGCTGTTGTGTTTCCCTCTCCAGGTACGTCCTCTACCCTCTGGACCTGTACAACGACAGCGCCTACTACGCTCTGACCAAGTTTAAGAAGCAGTTCCTGTATGACGAAATCGAGGCCGAGGCAAGTGATGTGCTTCTTTTGTTCCTGTGATCTTGTTCTGAGATTCTCGACTTTTCAAATCTTTGTTAGCGCAAAGTGCGGGATCGGTGACCTACTCCAAAGTGGTCTTCGTAATCATCGTGAGCCCCAGAAAGAACCTGTGTAACATTTGAGGACGCGGGCAGAGGTACAAATTGGGATACCTAGCTCGTGGCCTGCTCCCTTTCTCTTTGTGTCCCCCAACTCTGTTCTGCACCATGAAGGGCTTCAGGCGCACGTGTATAGACGCCCAAGCTCTGTCTACCACCTCTGCTGGAAAACAGTGACCCCTTGGCCAGTGCTAGGAACGGCTCATACACCTGCAGTGCAGCCCATCCTCAGGGAGATGAAGCCAGGGGGGAGACCACGTAGCAGCCGTCCGGACAAGGCTACTCAGAGCTGGTTCTAGAAGGGGAGAGTGGGGGTCGAGTGAACACCCCTGCTTTGACCCTATAGATTCTTTGCCTGGAATAGGATCCAGTGGGGACCGTTGAAGCTCAAAGTCCAGGACAGAGACCTCAGTTACCTGGGTATGAGGAAAGCACTACACACAGCTCTCTGTTTTTGCATTCTGCATAATATGTGGGGCATAAAATAAAAGGCATGAAAACTTTTTGAATAGTTAACTTATGAAGCCGAGGATTTGGTGGGAAAAGAATCAAAGACGAGTCACATAAATACAGTCTCTCTTTTGGTGTCGCACTCGTACCTGAGGCTGTCACAGCTTCGCCCTCTGCCAGTTCCTGCTCTTGCTAGTATTGGAGGGTTTGGTTTGACTCCCTCCGTCTGGTGTGAAATCATCTTCCCACCTGATCACCATAATCTACTACTGAAATGGTGAGGCTTTGTTCATTAAAAAACAAAGATATTTAAGCGAAGTTTGAAAAAAGGGGCTTTTAAATGTCTAATGACTATCAACTTCATAATCAAATTTGCAAAGCGAGGTAAAATAAATTGAAAGGGGAAGGCAAGACAGTTATCAGAGGAGGTGGATGGGGAGGCTGCAAAGTTAGCCAACAGTGTGAGCCATTGCAGGATCTGAGGAAGGTCTGTCTGGTGCATTCCCCGGGGCAGGCCGCCGCAGGACGGCCGAGGAGGGGACAGTGGGGAGGTCGTCCTCAGCAGGCTTTTTGAACTTTGCCTTCTCTGTTGACTAACCAAGGACCCCAAGAGCAAGGGACCAAACTCACTTGGCCACAGAATCTTCTTTTTCTTCCTTCTGAGTGCCTTGCCCCAGAACTCATTTTGAGCGGTCCTGCCCAACTGCCCTCTTCCACTTGCCTGAGTTTCTGAGATAAAGCAGAACAGACACCATTAACCTGTCCCACTTCTTCCTCACCAGGTGAACCTGTGTTTTGATCAGTTTGTCTACAAGCTGGCGGACCAGATCTTTGCTTACTACAAAGCCATGGCCGGCAGGTATGGGAGCCCCAGAGCTGTGAGCAGCTGTCTTTCCTAAGACTGCCACCTGGAAGACTTGGTTTTCTGTTGCAAAACCTCCCTTCTTCCCTAGCACCTGAGGAAAACGGAGCCATTCCACAGGCCTGGACCGGGTGCTGGAATGTAGTGGGAAGGAAACTAGGCTGATATGGTGCTAACCTCATGGAGCCTGCAGTCAGCAGGGAAGACAGCCATGGATTAAAAATTGATAAATGCACACTGACCAGGGAGAGTATGTGCTCTCTGTGAAGGAAAAGTATATGGGAACACATGACTGTCAAGCCGGAACTACTCTTTGGGTGGGGAACAACAAAGGCCGTCTTGGGGGAGCAGCGTCTGAGTTCTTATCTCAAGCTGGTAGGAGTTAAGTAAAACTAGGTGAAGGATGGGCAGGAAATTGCATGCAAAACGAACTGCTTATGCAAAGTCCCGGTGGCGCAAGTCTAATAATAGCAGCATGCCTACCTCGTGGGGCTGTTGAGAGGATTTGCGTGAGTTAATACGTGTCGATGTCCCGTTCATGACCATGAGACGGGGCGGCATGCCTGACAAAGCTGGAGAGGTGGGCAGGGCCAGATCACGCCTGCCTCGTAGGCATTTGTCTTAGAATAAATGGGATGGCACAGAATGCTTTCAAAAGCACAACAGTGACCCGATTCAATTTTTATTTTTGAAAATTCACTCTTTTAAAAATATACTAGTGTGAAGAATGGATTGGAGGTAAACAAGAACAAGTATGTGAAAACCAGATAGGAGGCCAGTGAAGAAGTCTGGGCCAGAGATTGTCAAGCTTTAGTGGTTCACTGGTATTGTCAGTATATATGGATTTAGACCCCCGTGAGTTCCAAGGTTTCAAGAACCTGTAATAGTCCCACTCAAGAAAAACCTCAAATTTTATATGTAGGTATTAATATGGCCATTCTTATTGGAAATCCAGATATACAAATCAATAATTTCAAGGATAGTTTCTTACCTTAATTATTTTTTCTTTCTATGGAAAGGATTTGCTTCCTTTTGCTTTCATCAGCTGGAGTAGCTCTGATATGCTTCATATGGGATTTGATGTGCAGCACACACAGGTTTCTGTTAACACAGGATGTACGTTAAATAAAGCGAATGGCTCTTAAATGATGGGAAGTATAGAAAGCAAGAACTTAGGATTTCAGGGAAAGCACAGAGAACACAGCCTTTCCCAAAGTGGTCACTTAAAACACGTCTGTGGATTTAATTGGATGTGGTTCTAACAGTGTGCTGGTAATAAATAGGTAATAATAGCATGCCCGACTCATAGGGTCGTTGTGAGATTAGAAATGATTTTGTGCGTGTGCTCACGTGCATGTGAAGTGCCCGTAAACAGCAAACACCATGCAGATATTCGTTATTGTCTGAAATTATTGCATTCCTCTGCCTATTTTTGTATCATCAATCAGTCTCTCTTCCCTAGAATGTAAGCTCCATGAGGACAGGAACTTTGTGTCCCTAGCACTAGAATGTCTCGTGGGATATCCCAAGCATGCACTCGGATGCTTTTGTGGTAAATCAGCAAAAGAGGAAAGTGGCTCCCTCAACTTGTGTGTTGCCCATCTTTAACTTACAAACTCTGTTTAACATGTTGAGCTTCTGTAGCTGAAAAGAAATTTGAATAACCTTGCTCCAGAGCAGAAAACAATTACATTTAAGATGTGTAGGTCAGGTGTGGTGTCTCATGCTGATAATCCCAGCACTTTGGGAGGCCAAGACAAGAGGATCACTTAAGGCCAGGAGTTCAAGACCAGCCTGAGCAACATAGCCAGACCTCATCTCTACAAAAATAAGAAAAATTAGCCAGGTGTGGTGACGTGTGCCTGTAGTTCCAGCTACTCAGGAGGCTGAGGTGGGAGGATCGTTTGAGCGTGGCATTTCAGGGTTACAGTGAATTATGATTCCACCAGTGCATTTCAGCCTGTGTGACAGAGCGAGACCCTGTCCAATAAAATATGGATATATATATATGATAGTCCTTCATGAGTAGATCCTATGGTCTGAAATAGATGCAGCTGGGTGGTTGAGAGCCATTCACTGTCCTGTTTACTGGCCTTACTTAACTTTTATCCCTTCCAGTGTCCTGTTGGATAAACGTTTTAGAGCTGAATGCAAGAATTACGGAGTCATCATTCCGTACCCACCGTCCAACCGCTATGAAACGCTGCTGAAACAGAGACACGTCCAGGTATGGAGACAGGAACCTACCGTGGAGATGCAACAGGCAGGAGAGATCAGAAATCAGGACTGGGCACCGTCTGCCCTGCGTATGTTGCCCAGTGTGGGTTTCTGAGCACAGGTGTAGCACAGCTTCAGAATCTTGCAGATAATAAAGAAGCATTGGGCTCCCTTTGGTTCAAGTTCTAGACATCTCCACCCATCTGCAGCTGACTTCTTACAAGTACTGGCCACCAAAGCCTATGTCTTCCCATCACAAGCTGTTGCCCACTCTTTCAGTTGGAACTGCCACTCAGAGATGGGTAAATCTGTCCCTGAACATGGCCCAAGTGCTGGTCCAAGTGAAGAAGGACTATGGCACCTTTGAAATGGAGCATGTCAGGTCAAACCGAGAGTAGAAATTGGTTTGTGTGCGTGTGTGGAGTTGGTTTCTGTTAACATTTGACCCCAGATGTAGAGGAAATGTTGCTGGGAGCTAAGAAACATATCCCCAGTTAAAAATGTTAATGTGAGCCCGACAGGCAAAATCAGAGCTGCCCCAGCAGACTTTGAGCCCCCCTCCTGGGGCCCTGCTCTTGGCCAAGCTGGTGGTGAAATGGCCTTTATGCTGTGATGTCTGTGTGTCTCTTACGTGGTCTCGGTCTTCTGAAGGGGCAGGGCCAAGGCTGAAATGATGCCTTAGCTGAAAAGGGAAGAGTTCACCCAGGAACCCTGGACATTCCCATTGCTATGAGAAATCCAAGGGAAATGGAATATTGTTAAAAGGAAAAAAAAATCACTTCCGCCAACACCAGGGCTCAATGAGAGTGTTTTCTTCAGCCTCTTGGAAGATTACTGCTATCAGTTATGACGCAGCCAGAATTAGCCACAGGATGTTAAAATACTGAGGGCTTCATGTGTGCATGAGATGGCTATAAGGGGCCCTAGTCAGTTGGTAGAAAATTTATCCCAGAAGGGAAGCAGTAAAAATAAAATAAGAATAATCACTTGGCACCTAGCAAAGTGCCATGGTCACAGCAGGTGCTCAATGTGTGTTCACTGTTGCCTGCGTAGTATCTGCAGTAATGCCCACGTGTGCCCCAGTGGAAAGTATCTTAAGCTGTATTTTGCATCCTGTAATCAGTCCTTCATCCTCTTGCTTTTACATTTCCCCCCATAAAGGCACAAAATGGGCCCTTGCTGAGGTGGCTGCTGTTTCCTGGTGACTGAATTACTGAATTGAGCATAGGCAAGATGGAGGCAGAACCTCAGGGCTAAGTTTAGGATGTCAGCAGAAGCGTTTACAGGGAGCCAGAGCCTACCCTGGGCCTCTTCCCACGGCCTGAATAAATCGTATTTTTCCCAAACTTTTTGTGTTTCAAGCCCACAGGGAAGTTGAAAGAATAATACAATGAACACTCATCTATCTTATAGCCAGATTTGTGGTTATTAATGTTTTATCACATTTAGTTCACTTTCTCTTTCTCATGTATATGTTTTGTCTCACATACAGTGTGTGTGCTAGTATACGTACTTTTTTTCTTAACCAGTGAGAGTAAGTTGCAGATATCACCCTGAATGCCTCAGCCTGTCCTAAAAGCAAGGACATTCTCTTATAAAATCAAAGTAGAATTATCATACTCAGAAAATTTAACAATGCTGTTTTCTAAATACAGACCCCATATGTCCCAGTAATGTCCTTTTTAATTTTAATCCAGTCTCCTATCAATGTACTACGTTTAGTTGTCAGGTGTCTGGGTGAATCTTAAGTAGCTTCTCTCTCTCTCTCTCTCCCGTCCAGCTGTTGGGTAGATCAATTGACTTGAACAGACTCATCACCCAGCGCATTTCTGCTGCCATGTATAAATCCTTGGACCAGGCCATCAGCCGCTTTGAGAGCGAGGACCTGACCTCTATCGTGGTAAGAACCTGGGGGCGGGTGGGATTTCTGCTCTGGGATTCCTCAGACTAGAAGCCTAGCTGGAGGTTGTTGTTCACCTAGTGCTGGGTCGGTTAAAGAAAAGCAGTAAGTCTCTTTCTTATCTGAATGAAGCAGGGAAAAAAAGACTTACACAGAATGAGAATAATCTTACCCTCCTGATTGCCCAGGGGAGGTGGGAACAGAGGGGATCTCTAGAGATGGTGAACGGTCAGACACAGCTGCTTGTTCTTAGGATCCTGCAGAAGCAGACAAGTAGGTGAGTGGTCCTAAGAAGCTAGGGAAGGTTGCACAACAGGGTGGGCTTCATGGACATGCAGTAGTACATGGCCCAGAAGGGTTCTGCTGTCACCAGCTTGAAATTCTTAATAATTTTTTAACAAGAGGACCCCGCATTTTCATTATGCACCATACCCTGCAGATTATGTAGCCAGTCCTGATGTGCAAGCATAGAATAGGCCTGCTCCTTTCTCTTAGAAAACAGTGCTCTCTGCTAATTCTAAGAATTAGAATAAACTTGATTGATCTTTAAGTGAATCAAAGAAAGAGTTGAATGCTTTCAAAAGCAGATGAATAGAAGGAATGGGATATAGAAAATCACCACTAGAACAACATAATAATTGTTGCAGGCAAGATCAGTCGATGGATGTTAAAATTAGTGGGCAGAACTTTGAGAAGAATATTGACTGATTCCTCTTACATGAGGTTTCTGCAGTAGCAAATTCATGGGAACATAAAAGCACGTGGTTGCCAGGGAGAGGGAAGTTAGGGTTTAATGGATGGAGTTTCAGTTGGAGAAGATGAGGTGTAGTTCTAGAGATGGGTGGTGGTGATAGTTGTACAGCAATGCGAATGTACTTCATGCCACAGTATGCTTAAAAATGGTTAAAATGGTAAATTTTTTGTTATGTATATCTTACCACAATCAAAACATTTAAAAACAAAACAACAACAAAAAAAAACTGTGAGAAGAAACATGATACTTGCATAGTCTCAAACTATATCCCCCGGGATATTTATTAACTACAAAGGGAAGAGTAGTAACTATAGTGGAGAAAACTGACAGACACCATCTTAGCCAAGTGTCAGGGTTAATGTCACCAGTAAGATACATTTCTGTTGCCATTATATATTCTTGCCAAAATGTACAATCTCAATTGAAGTATGAGAAAATATCAGGTGAACTCAAATTGAATGCCATTCTAAAAAAAAAAAAAAAAAGAAATGAACCATGTTTTTCACAAGTGTCTGAGTCATGAGAAAGAGGAAAAGACTAAAAACTTACAAACTAGAGAAGAATAAGGAAACATGTCAGCTAAATGCAACGTGGAATCCTGAACCCTAGAACAGAAAAAGGACCTTAGTGGGAAAACTGGTGAAATCTGAATAAAGCCTGTCATTCAGCTAGCAGTGGTGTACCAACGTTAACTTCCTGCTCTGGGTGATTGTACTAGTTATGCCCCATGTTAACACTGGGGAAGATGGGCGAAGGATATGTTGTTTTTACAACTTTCCTATAAGTCTAAAATCATTTCAACATAAAACGTTTTTTTTAAGTGGACAAAGTGGTAAAAAGCAAAGGGACTGAGAACTCGACCTGCAGACTCAGACAGGGGTTCCGGTCCTGACCCTGCCACTTACTAACTGGGTGACCTCGTGTAAGTTACTGACCTTCTCTAAGCCTGTTTCCTCATCTCCAAAATGGAGGAAATATCAGAATCTACCTCATAGGATTGTTCGTTATGAGGATAAAATGAGATACTGCCTGGAAAGATCTTTGCACAGTTCCTTGTACCTAGAAAACACTTAGTGTTAGCTATTAATAAATAATAGCTCAGTATTAGCTATTAATAAATAATAGATTATGGAAGAAAGATGAGAGAAAAAGAGAAATTTGGGGCTGTAATGCAATGCTCTCAGGGTGAATTTTCGGCAAGGTTTCTTAGGACCGGACTTAACCGCCCACCCAAGTCCCGGGTCACTCACTTCAAGAGGCTACGATACAGCACACTTTCTTCTGGGAAATCGTTTGGCTGCTTCTATTTTGAGAAATAGAGTTTTTCTTTGTTTATGCCAAAATGTTGGCAGTGATTAGCTCCAAGTGGTAGGATTTTTGTTTTCTTCTTTTTTGTTCAACTGTATCTTCTAGTTTTCCAATAATGGGCATATCTTATGGGAAAAAAAATGATTTGGGGTGTGTTCATCTCCATGGCCTCTCCCCACCTTTCGAAAGGCACTGAATGTTCTTTTAGCTGGGAACAAAATCAAAACAAGCAGTGAAAGTCCTGATAAACAAATCAGGTGAGAGCAACGGCTCCCCGGAGAGCACCCTCTTCCTGTAAAGCCCTTGAAGAGGCAACCCCTGGAAAGCTCTCTCCTGGTGGGTCAGGACGGCTGCCTCCTCCAAAAACATCGAGGAATGTGCTCCCCTCAGCCCTTCCCTCCACCTTATCAGCTCCGTGCTGACGAGGGGCAGCCGCTGGATTCCGGGCTCGGGGAGGTTGCGGTCACCCTCGTTTTACACAGCTGAGCAACAGAGTCTCTGCAAGATCTGATGCTGAACTGAAAGCCGGCAGGCTATGTTTTGCTTAGGTCGCAGAATGCATTTGTGATTTTGAGCCAACCGTTAACATTTGGAAGAATTCAAATAAAACTGCAGAAGCTCCAGCAACACCACACCAGCGTTCCTAGATGGCAGAGATTGCCTGGAACTGAATAGAAGTTTCTGTTAGGTGGACTGTGCTCCCTTTGGCTTCTTGAAAACTCCTGAAACTCCTTGACCCCAGCTGTTCTCCCTTACCTGACCCGTCTGGTTTGCAAGGCTTCAACCTGTTCTTCACCCTTACTTTAGAGTGACAGAATCTGAGTTTCAGAAAGGCAGAGCTCTGAAAACTGGAAGCGTGGTCTGAGGCCTCTGCCTTCCAGGACATCATCCAGGCTAATGGGGACCTTAGCCTCGTCCAGGCTGCTGAGAATGACATGGAATCCCTGGTGTGAGGCTGCCTCTGTTGCCATGGACAGCTTCACTCCATGTCCCAGCCAATGCTGCCGACCCCCTTGCCGTCCCACCTGTCCACGCTCTGGTGAACTGCCCTTGTCACTGTTTTTTCAGCCTTTATGTTATTCTGTAAAACCATCTTTGCCTTTCAAAGGACTTTACAGCTCTTGTACCCTTATTCCAGGGAACTGTGTCACAGGGGCCAAGAACACATGATTTGGAACCAGAAGACCTGGATTCACATCCTAAGCCCTGTTATGTATTCCCTGTGTGACCTTGGGCAAGTTACTTAACCTTCTGGCCTCAGTTTCCCCCCTCTGTGAAATAGGGACATTTATATCTATCTCAGAAGATGGCTTAACCAAAACAACTCAGGAGTGGCCTAGAGTGCCTTTGCTTTGTCTGCACAAGACTGTGCTTTGATTCTTTTTGATAGCAAGATCAAGAAGTTGCAGGACAACAAAAGACCAAAGCGAGATGAAAGGGTTTCACTCTTATTTCATTTCTCAACAAATGCAATGTCCTTCTGTGTGCAGATATTATCCATTCTAGTCCCGGCTCTGCCTGAAGGTGAGATTCCAAACCATTAGCACCCGCAGCGCCCATAGGTCCCTGGTCATCGTGAGCTGCAGACCACTTGCCCGTGGCTTGTAGCCACGCCTTTGCTGACCCCTGCGTGACACCTCGAGAGGCCTACAGTCCAAAGGAGGAAGGATTCTGCCCCCTCTTTCAAAATTTTCTATAGGAGTTATAGTACTTAGTGGTTAAGGATGCACTTTAGAGCCCAGCTTCCTGGATTTGAAGCCAAATTACTTAACTTCGCAAAGCCTCAGTTTCCATACATGTAAAGTAAGGACAGCAGCGATACTGACTTCAGAGGGTTCTGGTGAACATTAAATGAGTTAACACATATAAAATTGGCACATATTAATTAGATTGAACCATACGAAATTGCCAGTATCTGAAAGCATCCCACCTAAAAAAACCCAGCAATTTCGTATGGTTCAACCTAATAGTAAGTCCTTAATAAGTGGTAGCTCTTATTACTCCTTTCTGCAGGGTGGAGATACAGCCCCTGGTGATATGCAGTCACAGCTTTTTGTTACTTTACTTGTGACACTGAGGGACATGCATTTTCCTCACCAGAACAGGAACTGGAAAGCAAGCAAGCTCTCTACACAAAGGGGTGCAAATGGGGTTTGCACGGAGTCTGTCGTCTCCTTCCAGGGGGAGGCATGCAGCCCCCCACCTTGCCCCCAGCACAGTCTGGCAGTTCCTCCCACTTCTCAGAAGAGAACGTTGTAGATGCCACTGCAGGTCCCACTCGGGAGGTTGGCTGAGGGGCTCTTACCTGCATGGAAGGAATCAGTGAGATAAAGCGCACGCATGTAAAGTTTATGTGTATGTCCTCAGCGGTTGTGGGTTCTCTCTCTGGGCAGGAGCTGGAGTGGCTGCTAGAGATTAACCGGCTCACACACCGGCTGCTCTGCAAGCACATGACGCTGGACAGCTTTGACGCCATGTTCCGGGAGGCCAATCACAACGTGTCTGCCCCCTACGGCCGAATCACACTGCACGTCTTTTGGGAGCTGAACTTTGACTTTCTCCCCAACTACTGCTACAATGGGTCCACCAACCGGTAAGGGAGTCCCAGTGTAGAGGGGCCTGGGGCTGGGTGGGGGCCCAGCACATGTGGCAGTTAGTTCCTGTGACAAGCATCTCTCAGAGACCTCCCAGGTGCTGGTTCTGTTCTGTCTCTCAGAGCCTTCAGGCTAGAGGAGGATGCAGGTGACTGAGCAATCGCAGGACACATGTACCTGCATAAGCAGTGAATAATAAATGAAGGAAAGCCTGTGGGGCTGTGAGAGAGGTAACAGCACCACCTGACCCAGTCCTGGAAGGGATGTAAACCTCAAGGGAGGCTTCCTTCTCTGAGCAGGTAACACTGGAGTTGAGACGCAAAGGATGAGTAGGAACAGATAAGGTGAAAGGCAGGAGAAGAGTATGCCAGGCCAAGTTTCTAAAAACAGACAGGTTGGTGAGGGTAAAACTAGTGGGGTGGGGGATGGCGCCATGAAAAATAAAGCAGGAAGCAGGAACAGACCATGCAGTACCCCATAGACCACCCGGGATCACGCATTTATGAACCGTGGAAAAGTTGGAGCAAGGGGAGTGGTGTGATCAGATTGTACGTTTGTAAGGACATCCACATATCTGAATGCATGCATGCAAAACAGACATACATTTGCGGAGCACACATGTACATGCCAAAGTGGAACTTGCCTCCTACAAGATGCTCACAGCCCTGGGCCAGGCACCCAGGTAGAGACAAGATCTAATTCCTTTATCCCCGCAGAAGTTCATAACCTGGTGGAAGAGGTAAGACGTCTTCCCATACCAAACAAGTACATAAGGATGAGAAAAAACGTAGGCATCCTGCAGGTCCTCACTGTCTCCAGGCCCCGGCCCGGGGCCAGTGTTAAATGAGCATGTGCTGAATGAATGGAAGGATACGGGAACAATCCACAAATGCTCCTCCCTCCACATACTGAGCAAAATCACTTCTAGTAAATCTGTGAAGATTTAGGATTTTTAACTCTCTTGAGCAGGAAGCAGCAAACTACAGGCCGTATCTAGTTGCCAACACTTTTTGATCAGCCCACAAGCTGAGAGTGGTATTGACATTTCTGGATGTTTGGGGGAAAAAAATCTAAAGCATAATATTTGGTGACAAGTGAAAATAATTTGAAATTCATTAAGCTTTACTGGAATTCGGTGATGCTCGTTTGTTTGTTATTGTCTGTGAGCGCTTCTGTGCTACAACAGCACAGCTGAGTACTTGTGACGGGGACCATCTGGCTTGCAAAGCTTGCCTGGCTCTTTAGAGAAAGGGTTTGCTGAAGCCTGCTGTTGAGAAAGCAAACCGGAGGTGGAGGGATGGGGCTGTTTTCAAGCCCAGCCCATTCTCGCTTCCTTGCCCACTAGTGAAACTCAGCAGCCACCAGCCCCAAGTGAAGACCGAGAACCTGGGCTGCAGTTTTCCCATTTGTGGAAAGGAGACAGTAAATGAATGCGAGTTTGTCAGAAGAGTTTAGTCCCTTTATAGGCAGCCACCTAAGAAACTGTAGTTATTCCAGTGTGGACCTTCACCTGGTCATGAAGGGCTCCTGCTAGCTGTGTCCCATAAAGAATAATGCTAAGACCACCCCGTTAACTCCGTCCCCATCTCTTCTTCTGCTAGTTTTGTCCGGACTGCCATTCCCTTCACCCAAGAACCACAACGAGACAAACCCGCCAACGTCCAGCCTTATTACCTCTATGGGTCCAAGGTAAGGAGCCCTGCCCTGTCCTACTTATAAGAGGGTCAGAGAGAAAAAGCAAATAGAAAAGCATCCCCTGAATCAGAACAGCGAGAAGGCGTGGCGTTAAAGGCAGCAGTGAGCTCCAGGCAGAAACAACTGCGAGTATATTCATCTTTATTTGTTCACAACTAGCAGGGATGGGAGTGAAAGCAGACCTGGAGGGGCTGGGTGCTGAGCAGGGTCAGTTAGGTGAGGATGTCGCTGAGGCAGGTGGGGAGATGGGGACGGGGTGCTTCTCACTTGGCTTCACAGCTCCTGCTGTTTCTCAGCTGATTCTTCTCAGTGTCGCCCTGTGATGCTGGGATTTTGTGCTCTGTGAGTGTAAGGGGGTGCTTGGAAGATCTTAGGATGATGCAGGGAGACTACAGGTGTCTCTGTACAGCCAACGTGGTCAAGGTGATTTCTCAAACCAAGGGAAGCTCACAGACAGCATTTGAAGTGGTTCACAGACGTGGCATTAACTAACATTGACTCACAAAGCAAAAACAGCACCTCCCTTTTCGATCCTCTTCCAAACCTTATGCCGTATCAAGGAGAAAGACTCACATTCATGCCAATGTGTCTTTAATCCCTCTCCAACACTGGTGGGTCTCCCTTTCTATCAAAGGCAAGAGAGCAGGCCTAACTCAGGGTCTTTGGCAGATGATAGCTAAGTCAAATTTAATATTATTTTGTTTTTATTATATTTATTCTTATGTCTCCTCTCTATTTATAGTGGGCAGGGGCTGTTTTTTCACTTATGGAGTAATATAAGGCTATGTTTGAAAATAAGTTTAAGTTTAAAGAATGAGTCAATTTAAAGAAAAGTGTTGTTGAGAATAGTAAAGACAGTCCATGGTTCTAAAAAAAAAAAAATGGAGGTGGGATGTGAGGTGGAGTGTGATTGCCTAAAACCTGGAAAACACTCCAGATCAAGGCTTCTCACACTTTTCCAAAAAAATCCCCCCAGCGGCAGAGGAAACAGGACGTCTGCCTCAGCCGACTGACCGCGTACCTCAGACAGCCCACCTGCAACTCAAAAATTTCTTTCAAGTACTGTGTTTCTTTTAAGTCATGCAAATTTTTATTTTCTACTCTATCATATATCCATGTGTATTTTGATGTTTAACTAATGCCTTCAGTTCTTGACTGGGTCCCCCACAAATGGACACTGCTGAAGAGATGCATATTTGTCCCTGGCACACCCCGGGTGGGTACATTTTCCAGCTTGAGAGCTTTGTCATCGGGCGTTTGTCCAACCCAGGTGATCCGCGGTAGCACTGACATTTGACAGGAGAGAAGCGGGTAACGTATAGACGCATTTTTACAAAAGACCTGCTGTGTGGAGGGCTTTAGGCTACATGGTGCGGGCCATCTCCTCTTCCACTCATTCCCCAGGACGGGGCAGTACGGCTGGTTGGTCAGCGCCGTCCCCCTGTAAGTCACCTGCGTCGGGGGCATCCTGGTCTGCGGCAGCTTCTGGTGCAGCTTCAGCTCTGGAGTTCTTGCGCGGCATCTCCATCAGGGGCAGCCCCTGCAGGTCTTCCTCCCTCTGCCCGAGAGCCGGGGCCTCCTCTGGCCATCGCACCAGCCCGTTAGCTTCCTCCATGCGGCCGGCTCTGTAAGACCACCGAGGCTCGTGGCAACGGATGCACCAGAACTGGAGGCAGATGAAGGCTAGGACAGCCGTGAAGCAGGCCAGCAGGATGGCCATCAGCACCCAAAGCGAGATCTGGGGGTCCACCAGGGAGCCTCCAGCAGCCAGCGGACTCTTATCCAGGGTGTGGAACATGGTGCAGTAGTGCCTGTAAGGAAGAGCAGCCTTCTTACAGCTGATGCACAGGAAGTAGAGCGTGGAAGGGGCGAGGTGCTCCAGCACCACGGAGCTGATGGTTCGAGGCACCTTTTCCTCGCGGTGGAAGCTGTAGCGAAGATAGCCAGAGAAGATGCTGTTCCAGTTGGGCCTGTACATAATATGGTAATAGTCTTCCAGGCAGGGCTCCGAGGACGACCAGGAGACGATGGCTCCCGTATAAGAAACGTTCCCAACCTCGATGTGCATCCCGATTCTGGAATCAAAGTGAAGAGTGACATCCCCGTATTTCAGTATTATTTATCATAATCATAGCCACCATTTGTGATGGATGCTAACATTGCCCCCATTCTACAGACAAATAAATAGCGGCTGAGAGGTGACATTACTTAGCTAGGCATAGCAAAGAAGTGGCAGGACAAAACTGCAAACTGTGGCTGTCCCATCCCAAAACTGCTGGCCTTAGGGCCTAAAAAAATATGCACCTCTGTAACCCCAGCCACATCCCACCCTGGCCAAGATCTTTGGATACAGCGTTGTTCTCATCCCCTTAAAAAAAAGAAGAAAAAGTAATAAAAGGAGAAATCAGAAGAACTTCAGAGGCTCCACCGTAGTCATAGGATCTGTCGTCTCAAGCCATTGATAGACCTAACAATTCCTTTCTTCACCTCCTGCTTCTGCCCCAAGTGCTGTGAGCTCATTGATCTAGAACATTCTGCCCACTGCTTTTTTTTTTTTTTTTAGCCTCCCAGTTCTGTTGCCTGTGGTGAGCAGAGATTTACTGTGTCACTCACTGGCAGCTGATTTTTGCCCCAGAGCCTCTGCTCATGTTTTATTTGTTTTTTTTTCAAAGCCAAAGGTACCAAGTAATTAGTTACATCAGTCAAGATGGTGACACCAGTTAACGACCTATTTTTTTTTTTTTTTTTTTTTTGAGACAGAGTCTCACTCTTTTGCCCGGGCTGGAGTGAGTGCCGTGGCGTCAGCCTGGCTCACAGCAACCTCAAACTCCTGGGCTCAAGCGATCCTTCTGCCTCAGCCTCCCGAGTAGCTGGGACTACAGGCATGCGCCACCATGCCCGGCTAATTTTTTCTATATATTTTTAGTTGTCCGATTAATTTCTTTCTATTTTTAGTAGAGACGGGGTCTCGCTCTTGCTCAGGCTGGTTTCGAACTCCTGAGCTCAAACAATTCGCCCGCCTCGGCCTCGCAGAGAGCTAGGATTACAGGCGTGAGCCACCGCGCCCGGCCAACGACCACTATTTAATACGAGTCCTGAGTGTTAATCGTGGACATAACCACTGACAGCTAGTGAACAGACGTTGCGTCACAGGTCACACTAGGTGCTTCACATACAGTGACAAATTTCCTTTATTCTTCATCCCACTCTCGGAACTGGATTCCCATTTTACAGATGAGCAACCCGAGGTCATGCAGCTCATACGTAGAAAGGAGACTCACAGCCACTTAACCGCTGCACTTGCCAGTGCAGGGCTGCTGGATTTCATATCAGAACGTTATTGCAAAATGTGTCAGTCCTGAGACCCCGCTGCTGTTTTTCAAGACAGATCAAATGAGCCCTCTTCAGATAGCCAGACTCCCGCTTTGGCAAGAGAGAGCCATCTTCGAGTATCTGAGTTTCTCTTTTATCTGGGAGATACAGTTCCTGCCCCCACTGTATTTCCCCTGATCAAACACCCAGGGACGGCCATCATCAACCTGTGTACGTTCACTTACAGGGCTCACCCTGCCTTGTTACCTGTCCTCCTCTCTGACACGAAACACAAGATTTCATTTTACATTGCAACGACATAGTGAGAAAGCAGTCGATCGGATTTTAGCCTGAGTTGGCTGTTAAGCCAAACTGATTTCTGTTACGACCTGCCTTCCTCTCTCCCTTGCACCCCCACCCTCCTGGTTTCGTGCCCGTGTTCCTACGGGGGCTGAGCTGCAGAGCGATGCACGGCATCGAGTACTCTCAATCCTTGTTTTTCTTCTCTAAGGATGACAGTGGATTAACGTGCTCAGGAAAGGGAGTATTTCCTTTGCATTTTGCTGGAGATTTCTTCCCAGAACATAGGGAATGAAAAGGATGAGACAGGTGTGCTCAGATCCTTCCAGGGAAGGTTATGGTGAAGGAGACTGAATGTCTGTGCTCCTTCCTTGGTCTCCTCGTACACACTCATCTTCCCCACACAGCCGTATAAAACATTTCCGACCACAGTGGCGAGAGCTTAATTCATTACTTATGATACACAAGCAGCCACCTTTGCAAAACCTTCCATCAGGAGTGATCGGGAATCTTGTTTCTCGTCATGCACAAATCTGTCTGTTTACCTGGTATCTGCCCTTGGCTGTCTTTACAGACTGAATTCCCTACAGCAGACATTTTTAAGAGCTTTCTGTCAAGACGCTAGCAGCATCCTCAGATTTTAGGACCAAATCCATCTCCCGTATTTATTTTTCTTCCTCTGTTTCTGCTTCTAAATTCCCCCTATTTTGAGCTATTCATTTACCATTGCCTGGCCCTTGTCCAAGCAGAGTGTGAAAGAAACAGCCATTTCCATTTCTGAGAAGAGCCATCCACATCCCTTACCTGATGCTTGCGGTGTTATCTGGTTAGATCTCTGCTCTCTGAGGCAGAGTAGGCCAAAGCCGGAAGAATGGTACCTTCTCCCTCCTCTGCTCTGGACTCTCCTGGATGCTTCTCTCACCACTGAGTAATCCCACTGTCGCCCCCAACGCTCACATTATTCATTTCTTCAGATCAACATCATTCACCATGGCAACCAGCAGGCATCTGTACGCATGATGCTTTCAGGGACCAGTCTGGAAAGGCTTTTGCCCAGTGAGAGGAGCTCTCACTGCTTTTGCCAAAAACAGGCAAACAGTCTCCTGCAAAACAATCCATAGTATGGTACTGATTCTTCTGACACGCTTACATTTTCTGGCTAATTGGCTGCTTATTTACCATTTTCACACCCCATCTAGATCCTCTTTGGACAATGCTTTCAAATGCAAAGATTCCCTTCTGAGTTATTCTGTAACCAAAACAGTAACATTCACCCTCATCGGCTCCCAAGCCCATACCCCCCATCACCTCCTCCTACCCTACGTCCGTATCTTTTTCTTTCTTTATTCTTGTCTTCTGTGGCATGACCTAGTTATATGGCA